TGACCTCGTGATCCACCCGCCTCGGCCTCCCAAAGAAATTTACCTCTTAAACTCACACTCTGGTGCTTGTTTGAGCCATATTACATTGTCCTCTTTCCTAGGTGAAACTTATTACCTCTGTTTTAACAACTATATTTCCTAGTGTCTGGAGCTTTTTAAAATATTCTGGCATCGATTTTCAGGTTATATATGTATGACATTAATTTAATAAACCATTAAAGTTTATCACATGCAAAAACCACATCAGTGATAGGTTGTATTTTACCTTTTAGGCTTTTTCAGTTTAATATATTCAGCTTCAGAATATCTAGTCAGCTTCAAGATTGAGGGGAATACAGTCCTTATGATGTATCCAGTCTGTGTTTTTTTTTTTCCCTGAAATTATGATGGCTTCTAGCCTGAACTAGAATTGATTTTGTCTCTTGCTTTTCACTCAGACAAGTCAATTAACAATTAGGAATGGTCTGTGGATGTGGACCAGACAAAAGATTCTGATTTAATGCTCAGACTGAAAGAAAAATGATTTGAATCTTTTTATTTATGCTAAGAAGCCAATTATGGTGGTGTATCCAGTGGACCAAAAATTCAGTCCGAGAAATACTGAATCCTTTTCCACACACACAAAAATTTTCCAGCTACATATTAAAGTCAGTAGCAAGATTAAAACAGACTATTTTGTCTACATTTTTTTTTCCTTTACCATCTACTGTTAGATTAAATTTAGATAATGGTTTTTTTCCCCCCTTCTTTTCCTTGTAGTATCAATGCAAAATTGATACTAGAAAAGAATGTCCTGTTAGTGCTGTACATTCTCTGGCCTGGAGACTGTGTGAGCAGGGTTGGCCTGTCTTACTCTGGGAGAAAAGCAGTCAGGAAGTCCGCTGAGAACTCTTGGCAGCTGGGTTCACTTCTTCAGCGTCCTCACTCCTTCCAGTTACAGTGCCTCGCTGTGGAAAGGGCATAACTCTGGGCATCGGCTGGTGTCTAGATGGTCAATAGAGGGAAACCAGGAAATCTGACCCATAACCACTGAACAGACAATATGTGCCCTAGAAGGATGATCAGCATAGGGTTCTGTGCCTTTGTGAAATGTTCTGGTACCTTTTCCATTGCTTTGAGTGGTTTTTTAAAGGTATCTTCCTTTTGACTTGGAAGGGAAGGAATTGGGTAGTTTTATAGAATTTTTTCAACGAACACCAATTCAATCAAATTGGCTTTAGCAAATTCATAAGATGCTAGCCCTCACTCTGTCAGATCTGAGAATGGCATTATTCAAGTTGCTTTCCATGAGATATTCCTTTTGCAGAATTCTCACTTCCTCCCGAAAGTGTCCCTCTTTCCCCAAAACTTTAAAAAAAAAAAAATCATGGAAAAGTTTTATATAAATACATACAATTGGGTGACATTTCAAATGTAAATTAACAAGCTGAAGGGATTAAATAACAATTATTAAATTCTCATACATTTAAGAAGAAAAAAACAGATTTATAGCTGTGATTTGAGAAAAAAGGAAACAGAGTTCATGCCCACCTTCTTTGTTGATCTTTCCGATGACTGTAGAGTATGCACGCTGAAAGAACACATGAGCCCCTTTCTTTGGAAACCAAGTCTGTATTTGCATAGGTTACTATGGGAGGAAATTGAGAAATAAAAAGTGTAATTAAGGGATTAAGTTTTATTTCTGGAAGAAGTCTGTTGGATTCCTAATTAACCACTAATATTTTGGGATTTAGATTATCATCAGCCCAGCCTTTAGCAATTATAATAGCACTGCATGATGCACAGGACCTTTTTAAAAATGTAGCCTTTAAATCCGTGCGCTCCGTAATATGTGAGCCAAAAACCTCAGGACTTCCCTTTTCCAAAATAATGGCTACTTACTGTTAGGGGCTCTTATCCTCTCAGGAGCCAAGGAGAATTCCTGGGGTGGCTTAACCCAATGCCACAAATGGGGCTCCATCCTCTTCAGCTGGTTGCAGGCCCTTGACTTTGACTATGCAAGGTAACTGGCCCTCTCTATACAATTAGTTGAAAAAAAAAATCTCTGTGGTTAAGGTGAAAGAGCCCTGGAAATAAGGCAGGCCTGGCCCCCATCTTTGATGCCCCCTGGTCAAGCTCCTAATCCTTTGTGTGATCTTAGATATCTGAGTTACTTACCATCTCTGAGTTACTTCAACTTTCAAATGAGGGTGTTGAACAAGATGATATATGCGGGTTCTTTCAAGTTCCAGAAACCAGACTCCATTTTCAAGTTGTGATCAGACAGCAGATGCAGCATGAACAAAAGCTGGCGTACGTGGTGTGTCTATAAAATAGTATGGCTGATGTTTTTCTCAACATGACTCGAAGAGTCAGCTTGTTTAGTTTTTAGTGATGCATTTTACACTGGGTTGAGTTTGTACAATCAAACAAAGTTAAGCTCACAGGCTTAGTGGCATTCATGATCATTAGTGTGTCACATGTTACTTTGAAACAGCTGCCACAGTTTTTAGTTGATTTCTCTCATTGTATTAGTATCTGTACAGTCAGGATCAGGCTAACTGTCCGGATCGGGTTTCCCTCGTCAAGTCTACAATCTTGGGTGGAGTTTCTAGACAGCCAAGTAATAGATGGTGATGCTGGTCCCAAACAGACACCAAGCTCCATGCATCTGCCTTCCATACGTTTTCCTCCCGTTCTGCCAGAGGAGCCCTAGGATAAAGGGGCCCAAGGGTGGGAAGGATGCTCTGGGAGAATAGATGAGACCGAAGGATGAGAAAGAATGTAAACAAAGGACGGGTGGCGAATAGGAAAAGAAGAGCGCTGCCATTTGTGTCTCTTCTTAGGGCGACAGCAAGAAGCCAGTGGGGTCACAGACAGCTGTCATGGGACAGCTACTCCCCAGCAGCTCTGCCTTCTTTCCTGCCTCCAGGAAGCCTGGAGAAGTGTCCAGAGCATGAAAATAGCTCTTCCTGGCCAAGCCCCACTTCCTACCATGCCTCCGACCTGGTTTAGTTTTATGGCTGGCATTTGACACAGCCTGATTTATAGAAACTCTGAGAAAGTCACTGTTCCCAAATTCTCTCATAACTTGGGATGCCTAAAATTCTATTAAAAGGAGGTGAACACAGAGGGGTAAGAATTTGGAGGAATAATAAATTCATATGAACAAGTTTCAGAGTATGTGTGATTCCAATTCAGAGTGTGAGCCATTCTTATTCTCACCTTTGCCATCAGGAACTTTCCACCACAGCCTGGTAATAGATAGAACTCTTGCTTTTATTTATTTTGAAGCCATGGCACTGAGAAGCAAGGTGGTTTAGGAAAGTGGAGAGGCACTAGATGCCTGAAGGCAGAAGGGTGTGTCACAGAGAAGGGGACATATTAAGGAGAATTTGAAGTCACTTAAGCTCCTTCAAATGTAATGATTTGCCCCAGTCTCATTTAATCTTAATCTATGTGAACTCAGGGAGGTGTGCACTATGACATATTTCCTGACCTGCTGACTTTCGCAGGTGTGTACCTAGGTGGAAACTTCCCACATCCACCCCAAAAACCCCTGCCACTTGGAGACTTGAGTTTAGCCTCACTTTGTAAATAATGAGCCTCTTTGCTCTTATTTCACGTTTGATTCATGTCAGAAAACCTCAGTGTAATGCAAGAGGTATACCTGGGCACCAGAGGTATAGAATCAGGCCCACAATCCTACCCACATTGTAAGGATTAGATGATTGGGCACTGCTCTTTTTCACTAAAAGCATTTAGACTGTGCCTGGCACTCAGCGTGTGCAAACTCTCATCATTACTGTTGTTATTATTTTTATCTTTGATAAAGGGCTCAAATCTCGCCCAGACAGCATGGAAAAAATATTTCCCTCATCCTGTCAAAGTTAATTCTATTTTTTAAATAACATTTTCTGACATAAGCTGTCACTTAAACCTTTTGGATACTGATGTATGCTAAGAGGGCTTAATAAGAGTGGCAGCTGTCATTTATATTAATGGGTTGAGAAAAAATTTTAATACCACATTATCTCCTCGTGTGATCTTTGGCAGGTGTTATAGGACTCAGATATTAACTTTTAGGGACACTTTGCAAATGGTACATTCTTCTTAACAACCTTTGCATTATAATTATACCTTCCTCTATGCTTAAATGAGGCTTTGAATCCTGTAGGCTCTTTGATATACTTGCTTTTTATTTGTTTGTGTTAAGTAGAAGTGTGGCTACCTTGAGATATTATGTGGGTATCCCTAGGTTTTGTCTCCCTTTGGCAGTTTCTCTACCTGACTCTTTCACAGACTCTCGTGAAATTTATATCTGTCAGAATAGAATATGCACCTTTACCATTACACAGTTTTGCAATGACAATGCTGTTTATGTTAGCATTGACTCTAATGTAAGCAGTGAAATATTGTTTGGTTTAGCCTCTAGCCTAGCATGGAAGAATGGTGATTTTGCTTTTAAAAAGGTTAAACTGCATGTAAACACTCATTGCTGCCTTTTTGACTAACAGGGTGAACTTGAGTCAGAAGATACTTGAATCTGGTTCTTAGAATTCTATTTTGTTTTATAAATGAAGACAGTGCTTAGCCTGTAGAATAACTGTTCTTATTGGGAGTCCTAAGCCTTTCCCGATTTTAACGGGGTCAGCCTGGCCATTGCAGCACTCCCAGGAGGCCTGGGTCAAATGTCACCTCTCCCAAGGTCAGTGCAGAAACCTCTACTGGTCTTAGAGATGAGGCCATGTGTATTCCCTGTCCCCTGAGTTTACTTCTAGCCTAAGACGGAAACTCTCAATGTTTGTCTCTTCTTCTGTTGGTGCCATATATGTTGACATTTGTCAGTGTATGGGTCAGGCTATTGAAAATCTCTCCTTGAAGGAAATGGTCAGATATTTTGTTTTAAGGGAATTTTACCGCTTCCTTGATGGAGACCAGTGGCGTCAGGCCCTGAGGGCTAACCCCAGCTTTGGCCTCCATAGCATTCAGGTTGTTTATTAGAAGATGTCCTTGGGATCAATACCTGCAGAAGAGAAGGGGAAGAGGCAAGAGCATGCAGAGAAGGCAAGCTGGGGTATAACCCACTGACAGCCTCCACTGGCCCCAGAAGGAATTGGAGTGGCCTTCAGGATTGTCTCCCATTGGGACAGGATGGACCAGACTTTGATCCTCTACAATAGTTTATTGGGTGTGGGGTGCCTGGGAAGGGTGTGACCTCGGGTGAGGTGGTTCTCTGAGACCCAGGTAATCTTGGAAAGGGCTGAGAGCCAAGATCGCCTGCTGACAGTATTATTCCCAGCCTCTGGGGCAGCAAGTCCTTCTTTTAAGGGGGTCTGATTAGAGTACCAAGTGTCCATGACAGTTCATTCAGCAACCACAGAAGACCATCATAATGGTATTTTGGATGCCACTGAGAACATCAAGCTGGCCAAGTTGGGGTCAGCACTCAAACCACAGGGTCTCCTCTGTAGGATTCCAGTATCTGCTCTGTGGAAAATAGGTTGAAAAGTAATCCAAGAAGTGATGCAAAATACAAAATAATTAGTAGGGGAGTTTAACTTAATGCAAAACATGGAAACAAAAGGAAAAAAATTTTTTAATAAATGCCATTTATAACATTAGCATACTGAAGTTACTTGGTGAAACAACAGTGCACAGTTTTAGATTTTAAAGGGGGGTGATTTCATTTTTCCCTAATCTGTTGAATTTGGTAAATCTTTTTGGTAAGTCTGTGTTGAAAAAAGCTGTATCTACCTTTGAATTGACTGTTCTGGATGCAGCTTTTACTTTTTAAAGGGACATGATTTGACTAGTGTTAACATCTGAATCTTTGTAATGACGAACAGTTTTATATTGTATTCTACAAATGCTCAGACTCTTTTTTATGTTCCAGATATTGATGAATGCAGCACAATTCCTGGAATCTGTGATGGGGGCGAATGTACAAACACAGTCAGCAGTTACTTTTGCAAATGTCCCCCTGGTTTTTACACCTCTCCAGATGGTACCAGATGCATAGGTAGGTTTAATTACAAACACCATGCATGGTTTGTATAAGTCAGTTCCATAACAAACAGGCTTGTTAAGGGGCACGTATAATTTATCAGTTAAGGTAAAATGTTCATTTTTGGAAAAGTGTTTAACAGTTGAGTGCCCTCATAAAGAACAGAGGCACCTTACGGTCTTTATTGGGGATGTTTTCCCTCCCATAAAAGTGGGATGATCCTGGAGACCTTACAGATATCTTCAGTCTATTAATTAATGTTGTAGTCATGCAGCATTAAACCTTGAAGTCATCCCAGATGTCTCTCTCTTTTTACCCCTACCTTCAGCCATTTCCTGGAACCTATGTTAATTTGGCCTGAAATTTTTCAATAATCTCTTACTTGGTCTCCCTGCTTCTTGGCTTCTCCACAATCCATCTTGTGAGATTTATTTTCCTAAAATAGTGCTTTGATTAAATAAAACTCTTGCTCAAACCCTTGGTAGTTTTCCATTAGGACTTAGAAATTAGTGGTTTTCAGTCTGTGTTCAGTGGATCCTTCAGGTGTTTCAAAGCCCTCCAGGGCTGCAGGGATTGGGGAGGGGACAGAGAAAAGGGAGAGGGCTGAGCAGAAAGGGCTCTTGTCCCCCCACAGCCCCACACACATTCTAGGCATAGCAATCACTTTATCTCCTGTATAAGTGTTAGGCTTTTGTGTCAGGTATCAATTAAATAAGGGGTTCTGTTGCTTAAAAAATAGATTTGACTGGGTTTGGTGGCTCACACCTGTAATCCCAGCACTTTGTGAGGCCAGGGCAGGTGGATCACAAGGTCAAGAGATCGAGAACATCCGGGCCAACATGGTGAAACCCCATCTCTAGTAAAAATACAAAAATTAGCCAGGCGTGGTGGCAGTTGCCTGTAATCCCAGCTACTCGGGAGGCTGAGGCAGGAGAATCGCTTGAACCCAGGAGGTGGAGGTTGCAGTAAGATGAGTTTTTGCCTGTACACCAGCCTGGGTGATAGAATGAGACTTCATCTCAAAAAAAAAAAAAAAAGATTTGACAGCTGCTGGATTTAACAATTGTTAAGACTTCCTTCAAAGTACAGTGTCCTAGATTAAAATCCAAGTTCCAAAGTGCACAGTCTGATATTAGGGGCTTCACTCTAAGAGAGCCTCAAACTACATGAAAAACATTAAAATATCTTTATATATCAGGTGGTTTGCATTTTAAAAGTTCTTTTCTTTTTATGAAATATATCCATACTAACTTTTTACAAAGGAGGAAGGGAAGAGAACTAAGATTCATGGATCACTTCCTGGGAATGAGGTATTTCATGTAAATTATCTGACGTAATGTTCATTTCACAGCGGTATTGTAGATGGGAAGCAGCTGAGATTGAGAGAGATTGGATAAATAATGGTCCCGTTGTTTAAGTGGATAGTAAGAAAGGCATCTGGGATTCTCTGTGACCTGAGTGCACAGCCTAGACTTCCCTCATTGCCTCCTACCCCTCAACCCCGGATGCAGCCCATTCTTTCTTGCCAGACCCCTAGGCAAGACCCGTTTCTTCTTTGGAACTCTATTATTCCCTTAATTAGCAACTTGTCATACACGGTGGTTCAAGTGACCTTTCTGCGTTCCTCAGTGCTCCTTTTCCCCACAATGATAAGCAACGGAGACCCTCAAAATTACCCCTAGTGATGAGAAAATGCAAATAGTCCCTAACGTATAAACATCCAAGGCTTGTTTACAAGATGGTTGTATGGAATTAGTTAATCTCACCAATAGAAAACCTCGGATGTAGATAGTGGCATGCAATATCTTCGGCACACATTTCTTCTAACCATAAAATTCCAGCTGTCACCTTCTGCCACCACATTCTGAGACTCTCTGAACTCCAAACCCCAGAGCTCCCTTTGTGTTCTACGTTCTCATAGTATTATTTGTTGTTCTGTGATCTTCCTGTGGCATTTGTAATACTTCTGTAGGGTTGTCTTTTTATGTTATGGTTTTCTCTCTCTTCAACTCCTAGGAGTCAGAAAGATACCTTTCCCTAGTTAAGGCATCACAACTCCTAGCTCCTGGTTGTGGTTGTACACAACCATGTTCATGACAGGTTAGGAGAAGGCTGTTGACAGGCTAGGATGACCTGCAAATATCTATTTAACCCATAATATATTTGCTTTGATATAGTGTGATTTCTGGGTCTTGAGAATAGGGACCCTAAGATCATGCCACTGCACTCCAATATGGCGACAGAGTGAGACTCTGTCCCAAAAAAAGAAAAGGAAGATGTCTGTGGTTCCTTCTGTCTCCCTTTATGTTCTCCAGATCCTGACATTCTTCTCTCCCTTGCTTTTCTCCTGAAGGTCTTCAAAGTATTCTGCAGCCACTCCTTACCCTCTGTGCAAAGTGACATACCACCGCAACAGTTCCCCCCACTTAGTGTGGCACTGCTGCCTCACAAAGTGGACACCTTCAGGGTGGTGTGCCCTGGGGGTCAGTTACTCCAAATGGTTTCTGATTTTCAGTGTTTTCCTTCCTTTACTTATGAGCCTGCAGATTTTCATTAAAATGATGTTATTTAAATGTCTATTTTTAACAAAGGTACTTCTTCAGCAAAAAAAAGAAATTAAAAAAAAATGATTATTATATGTGCAGGTACCATTTGTAAATAAGGGACTGCCAGTAACCCAAACTTGATGTGTAATATTTTTAGCCCCAACAGTCACCATTTGATCAAGAGTTTGTGACCCATTGATTTAACATGTAAGTCAGCCAGATGGTCAATAACATAATATCATAGTTAATTTGCAAAATAATAGGCATTAGCCCATTAAGCTTTTGTCGTTGGCAACTGTAGGCCCTAGTTTTGCTCTGAAAGATAGCCCATGCTGAAAATTATATGTACAAATTCCATAATTCGGTCAAGTGTTTACACTGGGTTTTGACCACTGAATTCATTGGAAGCTGGGATATAAGCCAGTTTTGAATATCTCTTCCCATTCTCAACAGTCTTTGGTTTCTATGCCCCAAATATTTACTAATTCCCAAGTATATAAGTATTAGTGGTTTTAAGGCATTACAAATTAGTGTGTAGGAAGTTCAATTTCTCTGCCCTCTTGACAGGGGAGGTGCCACCTGAGGCTTCACAGAGCATACTTGTCTACACTCCCTCTCCAGCCGTTTATCCTGAACTGGGCTGGAATAAAACTTGTTCTCCCTCTTTGGTGAAACTATTAGTCTGACCAGAGGTACAGGAATTGGAACCACAAAAAAAAATTCTGGAAAGCACATTTATACTGGCTGGTGGTTTTAAGTACTTTTCGGAAATAATCTTGTATCCTTTAAAACTGACCCATAATTTTCTTTTATGGTTTGTCTAGGTTTGTTTTAGCCTTCTTTACTTGATGTTAATAATTTAAATGATTGTAAATTAGCCTTGTTTTGATTTTATTTCATTTTGTTAATTTATTGAAACCTTGAGACTTGAAGGCTCTGTGTTCTTAAGAATGATGTAGATGATAACAATTACAGGTATGACCCTTTCTGAGCAAACTTGATATTTAATATTCAGACTTACAGGAAACCCAGCGATGGAGTGTTGGCTATGAAAGAGCTTTGCTTTCCAAAAGGATTTAACACTTATATTCCTTTAAATCAATGGTCCCCAACCTTTTTACACAAGGGACTGATTTTGTGGAAGACAGTTTTTCCTTGGACTGGGAGGAGGGGATGGTTACAGGATGATTCAAGCACATTACATTTCTTGTGTGCTTTATTTCTATTATTATTAAATTGTAATATATAATGAAATAATTATATAGCTCACCATAATGGAGAATCATTGGGAGCCCTGAACTTTTTTCCTACAATTAGGTGGTCCCATCTGAGGGTGTTGGAGGACACTGACAGATCATCAGACATTAGATTCTCGTAGGGAACACGCAACCTAGAACCCTCGCATGGGCAGTTCACAATAGGGTTTAACCTCCTGTGAGAATCTAGTGCTGCCACTGATCTGACAGAGGTGGAGCTCATGTGGTAATGCGACAGTGGGGGGTGGCTATAAATACAGATGAAGCTTCACTCATTGGCCTGCTGCTCACCCACTGCTGTGTGGCCCAGTTCCTAACACGCCACACATCAGAACCAGGGGCTGGGATACGTAGGGGTTGAAAAACCCTGCTTTAAAAATAGCAAGCATCTTGTATTATTTGCTTTTCAAAATTTAATTTTATATGATCTCTATAGAGATATAGTTTACTTGAAGAGAGGTACGCCCTTGGCACACGTCAGGCAGGTAAAAGTGTTTTTCACTTTGCTACCTGCCTTCTCTGTTTCATGTAATATCTCAAAGTCTTATGGAGCAGTTAGGTTTTCCTGTGTCACAAACTCTTTTGGTGACCCAGAGTTGCACTGCAGTGTGTCAAGTGTTGTCATGACAGTCAGACGTGATGTAACCCAGTAAAAGTGATATGGAAACGTGTCTTACTGTGGTGCTTTGAGAAGACACCTTTCTGCCAGAAACAAAAACAAAAAATCCTTCTGGAGCTATTGTATCCATAGGACTAAGAACTTGGAATCATGTGCATTTTGAACTTATAAATATTTAGTGCCTTATAGAATCTGTTAGGCCCCAAGACAAAAGGAAATCTTGATTAACAAGCATTGGATCTAAGTACAAAGTGGCTTATTCGTAAAAGAGAAAAAAATCTTATGTCTGACTCACAGTTGCAGACTGAGAAAATAAGACCTTCTAGAAATACAGACTAAATGCTGTTTTAAAATAGATTTACATAAATATTTTCCTAAAATAGCTCGAATTAAATAGTTTGAAACCAAGGACAACCCAGTCTCTCTTCAGCATAGAGGCGTGTCTCTATAAATGATTAACTGTCACTGCTAGTGATTTTCTTAGTCTCTCTTTTCCGGTGGCACACATGGTTTTAATCATTCGTTCCCACCTTGGGTATGGAATGTGGGACTTGAGCCAAGTGCACCAGCACACAGGGGTAAAAGGTGTGAGACGAGGGATTTCTGACCCAGCACTGTTCCTGTGCAGCACTCGCATCTTCCCGTCCGGGGGGCAGAGGTGTGAGTTAATCCTGCCATAGTCCTAGTGTGAAGTGCGGGGCTGCTGGAGCAGGGGAGTGTCAGTACAAGTTTGATCTCAGTGATGTGTGTGTATATGTGTTTCTTTGTCCTCAGATGTTCGCCCAGGATACTGTTACACAGCTCTGGCAAATGGGCGCTGCTCTAACCAGCTGCCACAGTCCATAACCAAGATGCAGTGCTGCTGCGATGCCGGCAGATGCTGGTCTCCAGGGGTCACTGTCGCCCCTGAGATGTGTCCTATCAGAGCAACCGGTAAGAGCCCTTCCAGTTATCTGCAGAATATCCCATCCCAGCCCTCACAAGCCCATTGGCAATGTGCATGATGCAGCTATAATGGAAACCTGGGTAAATGAATCGATCCCAGAAAATACAAGAGACGACATTCAGGGAAACTTCCCCAGATAACGAACAGGGAAAATAACCAAGATCTGTACAAAGAGTACTGTTTCCAGGCACTGGTTTTTACTTATCTGGCTTATTACTACTAAACAGAAACATTTTTGGGAAGTACTTATTCTCGTTTTAGTGCTTAATGGCTCTCATGTAGTACTCAAAAGCTCAGTAGGGTAAAACAGCTCTCTCAGAATTTTTCAGGTAAGTTATTCAGGAGACACATTTCCTTTTTTCCTGACTTTGGACTCTTTCCTTGCTGCGAAGTCCTGCTCTTTTTTTTTTTTTTTCCAGGTGCTCTGTCTTTTCGCTTTTGGGCTTTTTTTATGAGTTTTTTTTTTTTTTTTCCCTTCTTTTTTTTTTTTTTTCCGTCACAGTATCTATTTATCTGCCCATTGTTTTGTTTCCGTTAGAAGCTGTTTGCTCTCATCTGGACTGTTCCAATAGCCTCCTAACTAGTCTCTGCAATCCACAGTTGCCATGTACCTTTCCCAATGTTTGAGTCAGTGAAGTTCAGTTTAAAAAGTTGTGTCTAGGGAAGGAAAAGGAGACACCTTTTGACTCATTGAGCGTATTTTAAAGCACCATGTCATACACAATAAATACATACAATTTTTATTTGTTAGTTAAAAAATACATAACTAAAAATATATAAATACAACACACTTTTGTTAGTCCAGAAAGATGTCCAAAAATTTTCCCCCAGGATGAACACAGGCAATATTCAGTGGTCAAGTCACTCCATTTGTTGCAAAGAACATTTGCTACTTAGCACAGCATTTAGAGTCCCCAAATCTGATCCCAGTTTATCTTTTAATTCTTGTTCTTTGTAGTAGCTTAAATGATATGATTGAGTTTTTGTTGCACTGAGCATTTCTAAATTCAAGTTGGCTTTTTTTCTAAAACTTCTTGCCAGTTCAGGTTCTTTCTCCCTACTCCTGCCACCCTTGTCTGTTATATATCCTCTTGTCTTGTTAAGGATCTGCTGAAATATGACCTGACCCATGAATGTCCCTAGGCAGCCACAGCTGGAAATGCTCCCTTCTTCCTCATGCTCACCTGGCTCTGGCTGGCACTGTCATTGTGGCATGAGTCCCATATGTGTTTTCACATATTCTCTTTTACTGGTTGATAAACCTCAATAGGAAATGTCATTCATCATTGTAGTCCCATATTTCTCATGCTTTTTACACTTCCACAGTATTTAGCGAAGTCTTTCTTATAGGAGGCATTCAAATAGAGAGAGCAAGTTATTAGGTAACATCTTTCCCACCAACTGAGCAATTTCAAAACATCACAGTGTACACAATGAATATATACAATTTTTATTTGTCAATTAAAAATGATAAATAAATACATACATAGATGAAGGTTACCTTCTTTAGTCCAGTAGGGGATCATTTAGTAGATCACTGTTTAGAAGTACATGACTTCCTACTGAGACATGGCTTAGGTACCAGGAGAATGGCTTTTAAAATGCATATGTTAACTTAGGAATCAGCAGCCTTGATGTGGATTCCTTCCTGTGTTGAGGCTTTGAATAGAGAAGAGAACAAGAGCAGGTTTCAGTGCCTGCAACTTTGGGACAGTTGGAGCAGAAGACCAGGTTCCTGTGTGTGTGGCTTTACAGGGAGCTGCTCTCCCAGGTGTACCACTGAGAGATGTGCAGCCCTGAGAGGCCTTGGGCAAAGCAGATGTACAAAGCACAATAATCTGCAGTAGATTTTTGTTTGTCCAAATGTTCCAGTACCAGTGCTACAGAGATCTGGGCTCTTACAGAGAGAGATGCAGGAAGGATTTTAGATTGGTCAGCTTTCTGCTCTTTAAAAAATAAAACAATCATCATGGGTTAAGTAGAGATAGTAAAGATAGATATCAGCTGAACAAAATTAACCCCACGTTGCTGATCCTAAATGTAAAGGAGCAATGAGAAAATTATTAATCTGTAAAAAAATAAGAAGAAATACAGAATTCAGTCTGATACACTTTTTTCCTAGAGAGGTTGAGATGAATTTAATGGCATTCTTAAAGTAAAATACTCACCTAATTAGCAGAAATGCTGATAAGTTATCCAATTTCTTTTATATAAATTTTAAAAGTCTTAAAAAAAAAAAAAGGCTGAATTGGTACCTACAAATGCTTGGAAGCAAAGTGAGTTCCTTAATATAATTGTCATTCAATTAAATCCAACACATAGTTAAAGAATTCCTGTTATGTGCATGCAATTTGCAGGGCAAGGCCGAGAGTGGCAACTAGTCATGAGTTAGAGATGATCCCTGACTTCAAAGAATACACAGTCTTAGTGGTGGGAATTTGGTGAAAGCAGGCTCCCAGGGAATGACGAATATAGCACATACAGATGATAAATCTATAGGAAGAGTCATTATTGGTTGACAAACAGGATTGTGACATCGGTCACAGTCAGGGAAGCATGAACAACATGGAATTCCTTTACAAATACATTTAAGTATGACAGTATCTCTGTGATTTGAAATTCCAGGTAAGTCATAATTAAATTGCTGTAATGGAATTCTCTGAAAACATAAATTTGACTTGAGTGGGAAATGTCAAATATGACTGAAGAAATTTTAGAAATGGAACAGAAAGTACCAACAGGGTTCATGGTAGCTAGGCATATTTAACCTCATGTAAATTGGCAGAACATCCCATGAGGTTGAAACATGAATGCATTTCAGTAATAACCGCCTTAAAATAAGTTAAATTTTAGTCTATAAGGAAAAGAAAAATATTAGTCGAATTTCTATTAGTGGCTAAAACTAGCATAGAAGATATCCATGAGAAAAATCACTGTGCAGCTGTGAAAATAAAATTACCAACATCCTAGCAAGAGAGGAAAAAAATGAAATTTAAAAGTCACATAGGTTATTTATAGATGGTAACTATGATAAAACTTAGTTATTTGTAGGCAACATGAAAATGAATAAAATAAATACACTCTTGGAAACCTGGATAGTGTATACTGTTTAAAAACGCCATTTTGGAAGCCCAAACAGGTGTGTCAAAAACCTAAAGGTGGTTTATTTTGATAAAGACCTGATGCTGTGAAAAATAGTGATCATCCTAAAAATATGGAATCATAGGGAAGCAGATGATGAAGTCAAGATATCCTCATTCAGAGGGTCACTATGTAGTATTAATACCAGACCCTGCACTCTCAGTATTTCTCCTCCCCTGTGGGCCACTTCTCTACTATACTGCTTTCTTTTACGAATCAGTATTCTTCAGGGTTCTAACTTTGTACTCCCTTCTCTTCCCCTTCCATGTCTCTCTTACATGAGCTCATCCATCCCCATGGCTTTGAACATCCCCTCTCTGTGCTGATGACTCTAAAACACACATCTAGTCTTGATTCCTCTAGGCTTCCCACTGTCTTTTACAACTGCGATATGATGCCTCTACTTGTATGTCTGATATCCCAAAACTCGTATGTTCAAAAGGAACTTGGCTTCTATCCACCAAACCTGCTACCACTATGATTTTTCCCATCCAGGCAAGGGCACTGACATTCACCCAATTGCTCAACCAGAAAACTAGGAGGCATTCTTGACTTCCTGTCCCCTGAGCTCTGACAGTTATTACTTCACTGAGCACCCTACATTTGTGTCTAAAGTGTGCTTTAGATTTGCCCAGTTTTGTGCAGCCCAGTCACTGCCTCCCTCGTCCTGACGTCATCATCTCCCCCTTGGTCTTCTGCAACAGCCTTGCCTACCCCCAGTAATGTTCTTCATATGTTGTAATTGTAAGCATGACCTTCTGAAAATGGTCATCTGATCATGTCCCACCCCTGTTGAAGACATCCAGTGGTTTTGCACTGTGCATAAAATAAAATCCAAATTTTTAAATGTATTCTGTAGAGCCCTGTGGGATCCACAGGTGGGACTGGATGGAGAAAGTAGTATTCTGTATATTCCATGAGGTGAATTTTGATACAGATAAAGACTTCTAGGTTTGGGGAAGAACCTGGTTTTCAATTATTGTTCCAGAGTGGTTGCTGCTGTAGGTATTAAAAATAGGAATGCAGTCAGTTGGTTCTTTTTCTTTTCTCCCAATTGGCCTGTGAGTTCTGAGGATCAATTTTATTCCAAAATATCTTTTAAAAAATAAGGATGTGGCGAGGTGGGGAGAGATAGCAAGGGGAGAAATGCCAGATGTAGGTGATGGGGAGGAAGGCAGCAAATCACACTGCCACGTGTGTTCCTATGCAACAATTTTGCATGTTCTTCACATGTACCCCAAAACCTAAAATGCAATAAAATAAATAAATGGGAAAAAAAAATAAGGGTGACTTCTATGGGCCTATGACGATAAGCTACAGCTCGGCTGTTATGTTTTGTTTTGCTGTGTTTTTTTAGAGGATTTCAACAAGCTGTGCTCTGTTCCTATGGTTATTCCTGGGAGACCAGAATATCCTCCCCCACCCCTTGGCCCCATTCCTCCAGTTCTCCCTGTTCCTCCTGGCTTTCCTTCTGGACCTCAAATTCCGGTCCCTCGACCACCAGTGGAATATCCGTATCCATCTCGGGAACCACCAAGTAAGAATTCAAAAGTCTTCTAGTTATTTTTCTTGCATTGTTCTCTTTAACATTTTTTATTGTTTGTTTATGCTGCTTTAGTCATTAAATAGGTTTATAAATTGTTATATTAATTTTTGGTTTACATGTTATCTATATTCACATCATCTGTATATCTCAATTTTTCTATTGCATAGAGAAAAACGGGAGGCTTCCTATTCTCCAGAGATTAATGTCTTTTTGGTTTTCATTTGTTTGTTTGATTGTTGTTGTTGTTTTTTGAGACAGAGTCTTGCTGTTACCCAGGCTGGAATGCAGTGGCATGGTCTCGGCTCACTGCAACCTCTGCCTCCTGGGTTCAGGCAATTCTCCTGCCTCAGCCTCCTGAGTAGCTGGGATTACAGGCGCCTGCCAACACGCCCAGCTAATTTTTTGTATTATTTTTATTTTTATTTTTTTTTTTTTAGTAGAAACAGAGTTTCACCATGTTGGCCAGGCTGGTCTCAAACTTCTGACCTCATGATCCGCCCACCTCGGCCTCCCAAAGTGCTGGGATTACAGGTGTGAGCCACTGCACCCAGTCTAGCGTCCTTTTGTTATCAGTGTTTTCAGGCAACTATGGGAGAGTTATGGACAACAGTTCAATCCAATTCACAGAAAGGATTAATAGTGGAGGTATAAAATTATACTTTAGGTTATAGAGCTTGCAAGGCAGTTTTATAAGTAGATCAATACCATATCTCTCTGCCTTTGTTATTTCTGAAAACTAGAGATTTGAGAGTGAGGTGTTGAAGGTGGCAGGGAAAAGCAGGCTGCATCTGGGTTGCAAGCCCCCCTGTGCACACAGTGCAATGTGATCTCTGTTGGCAGGGTGGAAGTATGCTCTGTTGTTGCCAGATGACCTTTGCCCAAAGAGTGTTGTGCTCTTTCCTTTCTGATTCAACATCCTGTTCATTGTCAGACTAAGTACTGATGGAAGGTACCATACTTAAAATAATTTTAATGGGACTTAATGTTCTTCTAGGGGTGCTGCCAGTCAACGTCACTGATTACTGCCAGTTGGTCCGTTATCTCTGTCAAAATGGACGCTGCATTCCAACTCCTGGGAGTTACCGGTGTGAGTGCAACAAAGGCTTCCAGCTGGACCTCCGTGGAGAGTGTATTGGTACGTGATCCATCCTAGGTTGGCACCAAGGGGCTATTCCAATTCCCTTCCTTTACTCTACTGGTTCTATTGCTCCTATAACAAATGGCCCCAAACTTGGTGGCTTAATACAATACAAACTTGTATTATCTTTCAGCTCTGTAGGTTGGTAGTCCAACACAAGTCTTACTGGGCTAACATCCAGGTGTTGGGAGAGCTGTGCTCATTTTGGAGGCTCTTGGGAGGAATCCATCTCCTTGCCTTTTTCAGCTACTAGCAGCTGCCTGCATTTTAGCTCATGGCCCCTTCCTCCATCTTCAAAGCCAGCAGCTTTGCATCTTCAAATCTCTCTCTCTCTCTCACTCTCTCTCTGGCTCTCTCTTGCAATTCCCTCTTCCACATTTAAGGATATTTGTGACTGCATTTGGCCGCCTGTATAATCCAGGAGACTCTCTCCATCTCAAGGTCACTGATTAGCAACTTTAATTCCATCTACGACTTTAATTCCCCTTTGCTATATGAACATATCCATAGGTTCTGCCGATTAGGACATGCACATATTTGGGAGGTCATTATTCTGCCTATTAAAGTTACTTTTAACTTCCGTTATAAAATATATTCAACTCATTTCTGGTAAGTCCAATTTAAGACACCCTACTAAAAGCCTAACCATTCAAATAAAGCATTAAAAATAGCCCCGAATTATGGAATTTTTCACATTATACTACTCTAAATGGGTAGCTTACCAATCTCTTAGACTAGTTATTTTAAATGGAAGAAAGGAACTTTAAATTGCTAATAAGGCATTTAAGCTGGTGAAGGGAGGAAATGTAATACAAGAATAATCAATTTGTTGGATGAGATAAGAATTCAGTTTCTATCAATTTATTTTTAAAATAAGTTCACCTCTTAGTTCTATTATGAATTCTAGTTATATAATTATAAATTTATGATTTGGTCAAAAATGAATAGTTCTTACTTTCCCAAACTATTTAATTTCCTGGCGATGAACACGCCTTCTAGAGGTCATTCAGATCTGAGTAGAAGTGGGAACATCTAACTCAGGATTGGGGAATGTGAGGTCAGACTTGTGTCTGCCACTAAGAAGATATAGTAGGTGGGTTATGTTTGCTAAATTTTAGCTTCCTCCCGTTCACAAGTAGGGGCATATAAACCAGTTTTTCTCTAAGTATACTGATAATTCTAAGTGACTGTAACACTAGTGTGAGCCTGTGTATTGAGCACATCAGGGGATGGGGTAGACGCTATGGTGGTTGAGAACTGCCCTTTAAACGACAGTTGCTCTAGGTTCTGTTCTAACATTTTAGTGGAACTCAGCAGGGAATGCTTGGATATGGTGAGGCCTTCTTTTTTTTGGGAAAAAATAGAGCTTGAAGAGATACTTGGAGTCCTGTCCAGAAGCCACTTCTGAAATGTTAGTCTGTTTGGTTCCCTTAGACCAGACTCAAGGAAGAGAAAACGTTTATTAGCTCAGAGTGTCGAGTTGCTACATGTTCGGAATTTTTCTCTGCAAAATGACACATGAAAATAATATACTTTAACTGCTCAACTAGACTTCAAGTGGCTAATGACATATTGTAGTGGAAAGAAAAAAGATCCTTTTATTATGTTATTTATTTCTCAAAAGGAAAATGTTTTACAGGTATAAAAGGAACCAGTCTTAGAATTATGAGGTATTATTGCTATCTAATTTTGGACTTAAGTACATTGTGCTTTGCAGATGTTGATGAATGTGAGAAAAACCCCTGTGCTGGTGGTGAGTGTATTAACAACCAGGGTTCGTATACCTGTCAGTGCCGAGCTGGATATCAGAGCACACTCACCCGGACAGAATGCCGAGGTATGGTCCTGGCGTGGAATGTGGGACGTATATGCCAACTGGGGGTTGGCATCAGAGGAGTTCCATGGAGTTTAAATAACCCATGCCAGAAGAGACTGATACAGTCGCATGGCTTTTTTGAACTTAATTTCACCTATTTTCATTCTGAAAGACAGTATCATACAATCTGGCAAGCATTGAAATTATTTTAGAAGATGCCTCTATGCCTGCAGGAAAATCTTATTTTTAGTACTGTTGTCTCACCACTATTATTGCCTCTTAAGTTTTCATCCGAGAAGTAGAGAGTGGGAGTGTCCTTTGTGACACAGCAACTGAGGAAACTTTCAGTTGAAATTATGTTCCATTAATTTCTTAATGGAAGGTTCTAAAAAATAAGGTTGTCACTCAAAGCCCTTGCAGCTTTTTAGTGTGGTCAGCAGCAGCATCACCTAGAGCTGCTTGGAAATACAGAATCTCGGGCACCACCACTGATGTACTATTGCAGAATCTGTATTTTAACAAGATCCCTTAGTGATCTATATGTACATCGAAGTTTGAGAAGCACTGCTATAAATGTCCCCTCATAAAAATTTCCCATCAGGTTTGTTTATTACCTAATTTATTAAGCCACCCAATATGGCTTTTATTAAGTAACCGTTATGTACTAAGTTTCTAAAACAGAAATAAATAAGATAAAATGATCACTGTCAGGGAACCCCAACATCTATCTCCATCTCTATCTCTAAATTTAGCACAAAATGAACTGTATCATTAATTCAGTAAAGACAAGAGAAAAAATGGGCAAACACTCTGTTAAAATTAAATAAAAGAGCCCATCAGTGATAGACTGGAAAAGGAAAATGTGGTGCATGTACAACATGGAATACTATGCAGCCATAAAAGAGAATGAGACCATGTCCTTTGCAGGGACATGGATGGAGCTGGAGGTTATTATACTTAGTAAACTAACATAGGAACAGAAAACCAAGTACCACATGTTCTCACTTTTAAGTGGGAGCTAAATGATGACACATGGACATATAGAGGGGACCAACACACACCGGGGCCTGTTGGAGGGTGGAGGGTTGGAGGAGGGAGAGGATCAGGAAAAATAACTAATGGGCAGTAGGCTTAATACCTGGCTGATGAAATAATCTGTACAACAAACCCCCATGACACAAGTTTACGTATGAAACAAACCTGCACGTGGATCCCTGACCTTAAAGGTTTTTAAAAAGTCAAATATAAGGAAAGATAGGGAAGTTTTATATCACTTTAGAAAATTGGTAGCCATTGGCAAGAGTTAATTTTATTTGCCTCTTTTAGCAAAAGCTCTTCCTGAGTTGAAGACCTATAGAAGTTTTAATTCTTATCAGTGAACTGGTTTCAAAATTTTTGAATCTGGTTGTCACGTAGGGATTTCTTGCCATCAGGGTATTTTAGTGCACTACATATAAATGATCATTTTGAGCAGAAAAACTGGAACAAGGCCTTTGAACTTGCTATCATTTCTATTAATGAATTATAAATATTATAAATATTATAAATAAATATAAATATAAATATATACATTGAACATTTGAGAACCTTCTGAATATAATGACTATTGTTTAAAATAATTAACATGTACAAATATGTACTAGGCATTTTGCAATAATAGAAAATAGAAATGAATGTCCAGAGACTGCACTGTTAAATAAGCAGAGAGAAGTAGTTATTGAGAGCCCTCAGCTTGGGGCAAGGGCCAGCCGGTAGAAATGCATCTGTGATTGTCATCAATCCGAGACTTAGTATTGGAAACTGAGGATGACCTGAATGCTTTAAGCACTGACTTCTTTAAGAGCTAGCACTAAGGTTATCCTGAAAATAAGAAGTTGAGAACGTGCTCGCATTATTTTGTGGATGACAGTTGCCACAGAATGGTCCAGAGACTGTGCACATAGCTGGGAAGTATGAGGGGCTGAATAGAAGGGGACAGAAGGATGGGTAGAGGTGAATTTAGAATAGCAAGCTTTAAATTTGTCTTACAAGGCAGTGGGGAACTCCATGACACTCTGAAATCAATGAGGAGAGAAAAAGATGAACTCTTTATGGTGTTTATTTTAACCTTGGGCTTCAAAAAATTATAGGATCCTTTAAAAAAAAAAGTGTCTGCTCCTGAATATGTGGTTTTTACCATTTTTTTGGAGTGCGGACCAAGTCTGATTTTTAGCAAGGATTAAGAAATAAATGAGAGAGAAAAAGATCATAGGTTGTTGGCACAAAGATCAGACAGAAGAAAAGCCCAGACTGCCTCAGCTCGTCCACTGACTTGTGTGGAAACCACTGCAGGATCTGCCCAGAAAGAAAGTGCATCTGAGGGCCAACCACAGGACGCCATGCAGAAGCAGGGTAGACAGTCAGAGTAATTGACGTGCCATGAACGCACGTGCTCGTTGTTCAGGGCATGTTGGGACACTTTGACAAATGTGACCTCTACTCTGCATACATAGGAATGTTCGCATCTGACTCCACGTAGTTTCCTGGTCCCTGTCTTCTGGGAATAGGCCCTGGAAGCTACTATATGCCTGAGTAGACAAAGCAGTTTGTGTTCATCCTCTTTGATGTTCATCCAGATTTGTAGCTTCTTTAAACTGAGAGAAACAGATAATCCAGGGTACCATGCTGTCCATTTTGGGTTTATTATTAATCTTTAAATGAGAAATCAGAAACAGGTTGTTTGAGTTATTGTTATTTTAACACCTCCATGTCAAGCTCTACTGTGTACTTTGGCATAATATTAACCGCAATAGAAAAAAGGGAAAAATGCCCTCACAGAATCAATATTTTATTTGGTAGATAGCATACTCATAAAATTTTTTTAAAAAGACTAAGAATCTATCAGCAATAACCCTGCACGTAAACCAGAATTGCCGTAAGAAAGATGGACATTTTAGAGGTGTGATTGGTGGCTTTCAGGCAGAATTAAAGTGATTGTTTAAAAAAAATAGCATTTGTTGTATTGTTCTGAGATAGCTATAAAATATGTCTTTTAAAATTATGTGTTTAAAGATGCCAGCCAAATTTCAGTATAAATAATGATTTATACTGGTTAAATAAATGTGGTTGGAAAATGGTGAAGAAGAAATCTATTTTGTTTACAGACTTCAGATTTTAGGAGTCTTATTAGAAATTAGAGTTAGATCAAATGCATTTATATAGGTTTTTATCATGTCTTTTCAACTCTGATGATTCTAAATATCAATTATTTGATAAGCAATTTATGTTGGAGAATATTAGTAAATAATTAAAACCAAAGGCTAAGATCATGAGTTTGCAGATGGAGGGAGGAGAAAATAAAATAATTTTAACTCCCCTAAATAAAGCTATCTCTTCTTTTTAAACTTGGATTTTAGACATTGATGAATGTTTACAGAATGGCCGGATCTGCAATAATGGACGCTGCATCAACACGGATGGCAGTTTTCATTGCGTGTGTAATGCGGGCTTTCACGTTACACGAGATGGGAAGAACTGTGAAGGTAATGACAGTATGCTAATGTTAGTCCTCTTCTCCCATTGCACTTTCAATATCAGGGTGTTTTCTAAGACCAAATAATGAGTGAACTGTCAAAGTATCAGATATGTTTTACATAATTCATCTGGGAGGGAAGCCTAATTTTCCACAATACTCATTTCTTAATTTACATATGTGTGAATCAAATAATATTTTAGTATGCTAGAAGAGCTTGCCATTTAAAGACCCCTGGTGATGATGAAACTTTGTGGCACAGTGTCATACTTCTTAATTTTATACAATCAGAATTAGTACATTTTTTAAAAATAGGACAAACCTAAGTCCATGTATTATCTATCCATTTATAATCTTTTTGCTTAAAGTGTCTGCCTAGTAATAAAGTGCTACTAATCAATATCTGAAATATATATCTAAAATATATATAATGTAAAATACATATTACATATATTTTCTATATATGTATATATTATGTATATATGTATTTCTAAATATATATGGAAACTATGTAATATGTAGAAAATACATATTTAAATATAATAGATATCTAAAATATATATTATATATCTCTAAAATAAATACATATTATATGCCTAAAGTAGATATATATATGTGAAATATGTATATATAATAAATTACTTTGGTCTTTCTAAAGCCTGTAAGTGAAAACACACTGTGTGAGGAAGTGCCTTCCAAGACAACTTTAATATGAAATAAAATAACATAGTGACGAATTTAAAGAACCATCTTCAATGATCAAGGGATTTTAAAGGTTCGCTGGCACAGCTATAATCCATAGTTGAGTCATGTATTTTAAAAGTCCACTTTTCGGGCCGGGCGCGGTGGCTCACGCCTGTAATCCCAGCACTTTGGGAGGCCGAGGCGGGTGGATCACGAGGTCAAGAGATTGAGACCATCCTGGTCAACATGGTGAAACCCCGTCTCTACTAAAAATACAAAAAATTAGCTGGGCATGGTGGTGCGTGCCCGTAATCTCAGCTACTCAGGAGGCTGGGGCAGAAGAATTACCTGAACCCAGGAGGCGGAGGTTGCGGTGAGCCGAGATCGCGCCATTGCACTCCAGCCTGGGTAACAAGAGCGAAACTCCGTCAAAAAAAAAAAAAAAAAAAATAAAATAAAGTCCACTTTTTACTTGACCCTATTTAAAATTGCTTCAAACTACGAGTTATCTTCTGGTTTTTATCTTAAAAAGAATTGAGATATAGCCTAAATACATTTCAAATTTCGTTCATCTTAGTTTTGACTTACGTTCATTTTCAGAGCATTAGAACATGAAGCTGTGACATAAACATACCCACTAGGGTATTAGCACATTTTTCAGTTTGTAAACTATTGTTCCTGAAAACGACCCTGATAACTTTTATGGAGTCAAATTTTATATATTTTATAAACAGATGAAACTGTAAATCTAGCCTTATAGTTTGAATGCACATGACAGAACTCAAGAACTTGAGATACATATTTCCTATGTCCCATCTTCTCCTTCCTTAGATGATACTATTTGGATGAAAATGAGCCTTAGGCCATAATAACAAAAAAGAAAGAAATATGAAGAAACAGAATTATTTTCATCCAGATTGGCTTCCTTCATAAACTTACTCTTCTGGTCATATGAAAATGCATGTTTTGTATTTTTCAGATATGGATGAATGCAGCATAAGGAACATGTGCCTTAATGGAATGTGTATCAATGAAGATGGCAGTTTTAAATGTATTTGCAAACCTGGATTCCAGCTGGCATCAGATGGACGTTATTGCAAAGGTTTGTACCGTAAACCCCTAGATCATGTTCTTCACCTGCCTTTTCTCCTCTTTATGTTGTTTAGAGGTATCACCTTTCTTTCCTGATTCTCCTCATTTAAAGTACCTTGAATTCTGGTTTAGGAAACCTGACTGAAACTCCTTCTTAAATTCAGCCTTCAAAGAGCTACAGTTTATGCCCAGAAGTCTGCTGTTATTTCAGAAAGGGTATTTGAGGTCTTCTCAAAGGAGTCAAAAGCTATGTAGCAAATAAATAATTCAAACTGCCTGTTGGTCTTCCAACAGATGTACACATTGTTCTAAAGAAGCTGAGTGCTACCTCTTCGTTCCCATTAGGGAATAATGGTAGTTAGGGTTCTTGATGCCTGTCATTTGCCACCTCTTACATCTTTACTTGGACAGAATAGTGTAGACTGTTATTTGCTGTGATCTCTTCTTCATAACTTCCTCCAGGCATCTTAAGACTCGGAAAATTTTTCTAAGGATAATTTATTTAGACTTTATCAAATTACATAAGCAAGAAGGGAAACAGGATTGAGCAGAATAAATAAACAAACCAAGAACCATTGTTTAGTTTGGTAAATCATTTTGAAATAATCTTATTGCTCCAGGTATTGAAGCAAAAATGAGGATTTTTATTTTTGCTGTTGAGAATTGGGGTCCTAAGAAAAGTTACTGGTGACAAATTTGTGCTTAGTGTCTCCTGTGTTATGTAGGAATCAGTGATTATTGCCCTTGGTCCAGAATCTGAGTTGGAACCAGACTGCATAATGAACCTCATACTCAAATCAGGTCCAGAAAATCTGCTAAAATGCTGCACTTGGAGAAACTATGCACTTCTGGGCACAGTTTCAGATGCAGAAGTGTAGAGGGTCAAGCTATTCAAGGTAGAGAAAGCAGGATGAAGTCCTAAGGTGCCTCTTCTCAGCATGCCCCTAGTGGACAGCATTGGTAAACGTGTTATGGAAGAAAACCTTGTATTAAATCCTTGGCAAGATGTGCATTTTCTCCAGGCTTAAAGGAACTTCGAGCCCTTGCTTGTTTACCTACATTCTCTATGACCTTCACATCAATGGCTCTTAATATTGTGCAAATCTGTCTTCCCAGCTAGAGAAAACAGTTGGGTGTTTCAAATTTGAAGTAGGAAGGTGGTTTCTGTACTTTTGAGCCCTGTGCTGGGAGGAACTTATATGAGAAGACAGGATTAACACATAGGAATATTCTACAGTATAAAATAGCATAAAACAAAGTGCCAAATTGTGCAAATTTAGCACTGTACAAGTAAAAAATAAAAGGGAAAAGAATGATTGCTGGAATATTTGGAATTAGGCTTCCAAAAAAAATAATAGAAAGAATTATGAAAACCCCTTTGTGAGCAGACCTAGGGGAATACATACTCTTCTTGTTGATACACAGAACACACTAAGATTCACTTTCAGTGTCTCTAGGGTCCTGCTGACCCAGGCAACAGCCTCTCAGCATGAAGTATGGCTGGTAGAAAATGCTATGACCTCATAGATGAAACCAGCTTTGGCAACCATTGGCAACCAGTGAAATAGTATCATATCAGTACATTGATTGTCCTGTTAATTTGAAAGTGCTGATGATTTGGATGGGTTGTTCTGACATTTTGGCTTAAAGATCTGAGAAAGAGAGAGAGAGAGAGCAAGAGCTCCATAGCTCTGTATTATTACCAATGTCGTCTTTTTTCTAGATTATAGAGCACAGAGTACATACACTGTCATAAGACTAAAGGACAAAAAAAGAAAGAAATTCATCACATGCATACTGAATTTCTTCCTTTTTATAATTTTCTCTTTATGTCATGGGCTAAGATTTTCTCTTAGTGCTGAGCACTTAGTTCTGAGCCCACAAAGATGTGACTGTTCAAAGCTGAATCAACAATGCTACTTCAGTCTCTACAGTTAATTCATCTGATCAACAACACGGCTTCTCTGTTCACTCTGAAGGTTGAGGCCACTCACTTTGACCAAGGTTACCTCCGTTTGGATCTACTTTACATCTTCATTCTCATTAGAAACTCTTTGTGTTACCTATCAGATTGTAGTCTCCACGTTTTGCTGTGTGTCACAATTTGAACAAAAAGGTGACCAGAATAACTAAACAATTTGAGTTCCCATATTTAAATATAACTGCTGTTTTAAATACAATCTGTACACAGAACCTTGGACCACCTGAATATATTTTGTGCCAAACAACACAAGCTAAGTAAAACGTGAAGGTGTTTTACTCTCAATTTGCCTTTTTAAGGTCAGGAGAAAGTTAACAGTCACGCACACTAGTTGTATATTGTGAAAGGAGTTGTTATAAAATCATTTGCTTTTTTCTTTTTGAGACACAGTCTCACTCTGTTTCCCAGGCTGGATGGAGTGCAGTGGTATCATCTCAGCTCACTACAACTTCTGCCTCCTGGGTTCAAGTGATTCTCGTGCCTCAGCCTCCTGAGTAGCTGGGACTGCAGGCACGTGCCATCATGCCCAGCTGATTTTTGTATTTTTAGTAGAGATGGAGTTTCGCCATGTTGGACAGGCTGGTCTTGAACTCCTAGCCTCAAGTGACCACCTTAGGCTCCCAGTGTGCTGGGATTCCAGGCATGAGCCACTGCACGTGGCCTAAAATCGTTTGCTTCTAAGTGTTGTGTGTTTTCCAAACCACAATTTTGATACCTTTTATACTTCCCCATATTAAGGGGGGAAAAAAAACCTCTGCAATTATTATTAGTATGTGTCCAATAAAGTCTTTTACCAGACTTCCTTAAATATACACATAAAATACCATAAAGTATTTGTAAAGTTTAAGAAAGAATTCACTTTGCTGAGTTTCGATTGCTTACAGTGCTGTTACCGGCCAAGAATGGTCATCAAAATCACCTGTATTCATTTTCTGTCCTTTTTTCTATGATGTTCCATCAATGCTTTAGTTGTACATCCTTTAATTTTAGGTGAATTGTCCCAGAGAGCTCAGGCATGGGTGATAGTAGAAGGGATGCCAGTTTGGGTGATGAATACCAGAAGGAAAATCTTCCTGTAGTTTATTATTACCCTAGAATTCTGAAAGAGTTACCCTGGTCTTTTAGCCGTTTGTCTTTTAGCAGCCATTCTTCTTCTTCCTCCAAGTCTGTTTTTGCCTTTGTGATTATTTTGGATACAAAAATCTCTTGGGAGAATATATTAAAGTTGTTTTTTATGGAAAATAAGTTCTCACAGTTGACTTTCTTTTAAAGGAAAATGAGAATGCCATCTCACTGAACTTTTGTTGCTGATGCTGCCTATTATTTCCTATCTTCCCCATTTTTAAGTATTAAAACACAATTGTCAACATGTTATAATTTTAGATACATGTCACTTCATCTTTAATAAGTGCCTTTCTCTGCCACAGACATTAACGAGTGCGAAACCCCTGGGATCTGCATGAATGGGCGTTGTGTCAACACTGACGGCTCCTACAGATGTGAATGCTTCCCGGGACTGGCTGTGGGTCTGGATGGACGTGTGTGTGTTGGTAAGAAACCATCATGGCTAGACTTATGAGAGAGATTCACCCTCTGTCAATCAATAAAGCCCACTAGTAAACAAATGCTCTCTACTGTAGCAGATAAGATAGAAAAAATATTTGCAGAGCAACAAACCAACAGGGTCAGTTCTCTTCTTGTGTAAATTGAACATTAATTTGAAGAATAGAAAGATGAGCGAAGTGAAAAGCAAGGAATCCCCACCTATCCTTCCCTCATTTCTTCTCTAATCCCATAGTTGTGCTCAGTTTCCTCCAGCCCTCCTTTGTTGAGACTGGTCATTTAAATCGGCATGCATATCTCACAACGAACATTTTAATAGAGAATTAATGACTATGGTCAGTATAGAATGCAAAGGAGAATATGGATAATCCAGAAACCTGTATGATAATTGTTTTATGAGGCTACATAAAAAGTATTAGACTTGTTGAAAAATGGATACAAATTTTATCCAGATTATTTCTAAGAAAGGTACTTAGTCAACCATTTGAATTGACATAGCTGGAAATTCTCTTCCTGATGGTAAAGATAACACTGCTTAGTTGACCAACATCTACAGATTTATATAATGACCCTTTTATGGATTAAACTTTCTCCTTTTTGGAAAGCATACCTAATTCAGTCATTCAATAATTGCATGTTTATTTTGGGATAGGCCACCTTTCTAATAAAGGTCTTATTTAGCAGGATGTGAGATTCAACATTCATCCATCGTTAATTCAGCATTTATTAAGTGCCTGCTCTGCACAGGCCTCAGACAGACAAAATAAATGAGGTATAATTTCAGCATTGAGGGGCCTCACATTTTGGTAAACCATGACAGTCCCTAGAAAACTGAAATAATCTGGCCATTGGTTTCCAATGCTTAGAAGCTGAACATGTTTTGTTTTCTGTTTTTGTTTATTTTTTCTTCATATGGAGCCCTAATATCAGAGGCCTTCCCTGTGAGTTCCACCAGGGATGATGGATAAATAAAGCCCTCTTCAACTTTGACTTGGGGGGTTGTCATCTGTTTGAAGTGACAGTGTGATGACAGATGCTTCTTTCTGTTTAGACACACACATGCGGAGCACATGCTATGGTGGATACAAAAGAGGCCAGTGTATCAAACCTTTGTTTGGTGCTGTCACTAAATCTGAATGCTGTTGTGCCAGCACTGAGTATGCCTTTGGGGAACCTTGCCAGCCGTGTCCTGCACAGAATTCAGGTATGTGGTATCATGGAGATGCCCTTGTACTGCCAGCCTTCTGCCACCATCTGAAGTCTTTGCATTTGTGGATTCACAGGGAAAGATGACATTTTGCTCACCAGGTGTGCCATGTGCCTTCTTGAGGTCTTGGCAGAGACTAGCCAGTGTCTAGTCACAGGTACTTATCCAGGCCTCACAATCATTTAATAGGCGTTGCATTTGTGCCTCCCATATAAACTCCCCTACCTCAATAATACTCAAGCCCTTTTCAATACATGCACCTTGCCTTGTTTTCTAAAGTTGCTTCATGATGTTTGCATTTTGTAGAAACTATTATAAAAGCAGAATTTTACACAGCACAAAAGTAAATGACTGTCATATTACTTGACTATTTCCAATAGTTTTCCAAAAGACCATTTATAAATTTTGTTTACATGCCACATATTTATTTTGGTGTGGTTTTCTTAAATGATTTTATTTAACTTTAGAGAAAAAAAGTGTTTTTCTCCAGTTGAGGTGACATGACCTAATGAAAAGAGAACTGGATAGCAAGTCAGAATTCTGTTCCTCTATCAACAGGCAGCCAAATTACTTAATTAGTTATTTGTGTATTTTGCTTATTTCTGATTTTTTTCCAACTGCTTTTCGAAAGGTAGCTTATATTAATAAACATAATTATAAAATATAGAATAATACAGAAAAGGTATCCTTAGACTTCTCATCTACAAAATGAGTTGCCTTAGATAATCCAGACGTTTCTGTCCAGTTGTAAATTATTTCTATTTATAAAGCAAGAGTAGTTTACTGAAATTAAAACAATGTACTGCCAGTATTTAAACATGATTTTAAGGTAGCTTGGCAGTGGACCCTAATGTCCTAAAATAAAGTTAGACCTAATATTGAAAATATGTACCTGTGATTGGTGGTTTACATATAGGATTTAGTCAGTTTATTTCTGCCCTAAATGAAACAAATTAAAGAGTAAATTTTTGTAAAAGATTTGTTATTTTAAAAATGATAGTATTTGCCATTAACAGTTAGAAATTAAAATATATCATGAAAAGTTAGAGAAAGTTAAATGGAAGACTTTAAAAGAAATGAGAGGTTAAGCATGGTGGCTCACGCCTATAATCCCAGCATTTTGAGTGGCCAAGGCAGGTGGATCACTTGAGGTCAGGACTTCAAGACCAGCCTGGCTGACATGGTGAAATCTCATGTCTACTAAAAACAACACACACGCACACACACACACACTGCCAAGTGTGGTGTTGCATGCCTGTAATCCCAGCTACTAAGGAGGCTGAGGCGGGAGGATCACTTGAATCCAGGAGGTGGAGGTTTCAGTGAGCCAAGATAGCACCGCTGCTCTCCAGCGACAGAGTGAGACTTTGTCTTGATAAGAAAGAAAAAAGAAATGAGGGAAGCCAACTTAAGGAAAGAAAACTTTGGCTAATGACTTCACCCAGTAAATAACATAGAAATTGTCATTTCGTGTATAATCACCAAGTGGGTCAATATGTGTTTATAATACTTTGGTTATATACATATATTCTATCAGACACTTTCCTATAACTTTATAGTTGTATGTTGCTAATATCATTCTTTTGTGTGTTACTTTAACTTTTCAAAGTACTTTTCTTACCTAATTTGAATTTACGATACAGACAAGTGTCATGAAAGCTGGCACACAAGAGTACAGGTGACTTGTTCACATGTCAAATGATTGGAGGAGCCAAGACTTAGAATCCAGGAAACTTAGTGCACATAGTTATTTGCCTTTACATTTTCCTCTGGACCAAGTGCATTTCCAAAGAATTGTTAAGCTCTGTAGGTTAATTATGTGGGTTTATAAAAAGGTGATCAAAAGACCAGATTTCTTTGAGCAGTTGTCTTAGTCCAGTTTGTGTTGCAGTAACAGAATACCACAGACTGAGTAATTTATAAAGAAAATACGTTTATTTCTCACAGATCTGGAGCCTGGGAAGTCCAATATCAAGGTGCCAGCCTCTGAGGAGGGCCTTCTTGCCAAGTTACTTCTTGGCTGACAATGGAAGGGCAATTGAGCATGCAGGAGTAAGAGACAGCTAGAGAGGACTGAATTTGCTTTTATAACAAAGTCGCTCTTGTGATAATTCACTCCCGTGATAATGACATTAATCCATTCACGAGGGTAGAGCCCTCCCCACCTAATCACCTTTTATTAGGCCTCACCTCCCAGTACTGTTGCATTGGGGCTTAAGTTTCCAGCACATGATCTTTGGAGGATGCATTCAAACCATAGCAGCAATAACTTAGAGAGAGTTAAATGGGAGACCCAATTCCACTAACTTCTGTTTTATATTTTAATGAATTTACCCAGAAAAGGTCCACACGTGGAAGTAGTTTCATTTATTTGGGTTCTCCACCTCTTTGGTGATGAACCATCTGAATGTAGGATATCTCTCATTTCAAGAATGGGGATGGGTGGCAGTTTAACGTACTGAAAATATTCAAAAGGAATGTCTTCAGTCAGTTGAGTGAGAGAGTCCAAATATACAAAATCTAAAGTTCATCTTTGTGGTCTGCAAGTCAGGCAAGCTACATATGAAGCTGTTTCTCACTGGTTGCTGGAGCTGATTCACATTGCTCAGCAATCCCTCTTGTGTCCTCAGCCTACTGACAATGACATTTCACAAAAATGGATCAGTTAAACCCACAGGAGTATAATTGGTCAGTTAAACCCATAGGAGTATAATTCTCGGGAATTTTCTCATGGATCCCTCATACCGCTGTCTCCATGGCACTACACTGAGATATCTCATCAACATCTACCCCTTATTCAGGGCCTGAGCTGTGCACAGTACAGGTGAAATCATTAAACATGTAATGTTAATTCTGTACGGTCACCAGGTGAAATGGGAATCATTATTCCAAATTTATGGGAGAAGAAAATAACAGAGGAAAAGGACTGCTTCCCAAACTCCCAGCAATAAGCATTGTCTTTGGTATTAAAAACTTATGCTTATTTGAACTCACTACAGAAAATGGTCTAGTACCAGATCCTACCCAAATGGAAAACAATGGTGACAATAATTTGCTCTTTAATAGGCCAAGCATCAGCAAAGTTGTCATGATCTGTAAATATGCTTTTTATGAAACTGGCATGATTTTGGTTTTCTTGTTTTATTACTTACAGTATTTCATTAGTGTTTTAGTTTTTTGCTGATATAACAGAATAAAAAGGATGAATTTCTTTTTGTTCTCAGACCTGGCTTTCAAACATACCTTCCCATTTGTTCCTTTTTTGGCCCCTTCTAAGATGATTTGAAAATTAAATCGTCGCTGCTTTGTCAAGTTAACATTTGTTAGAAGACAACGGTAATTTTTGTTTGTATGACTCATTTGCATCCACTGTCATCAGGGATGCAATTCTCTGGCCTGCAGAAGATAGGAACTATTTGCTTCAGCTGTGAGTTGCAGTCAGCCTCTACAATAAGCCCCAGCCCTGGTGATTTCGCCTTCCACTTAAGCACAGATGATTTACATTTGACCATGAGACTGTGTTTGCCAGAAACCATTGGCAACTAAGGGGACGACACTAGTTTCCTTTCCTTGGATGGTGTGATTCCAGTTAGTTCTACATTTTCATCATTCACTGTTAATATTGTTGGTATTGTATGTAAAACATTGTATTAATTTTAAGAAATAGAAATTTGATTCTATCTCAAATTTGGGGACATATTCTTTATACCTCAATTTCTTCAGTAAGATCTCACAGTTTTAATTTTAAGCAATGGTTTCTCTATGAATATATCATAGAGAATTAATCCAGTGTCCTGATAAATATTAACTTTAAAAATACACTTAAATGCAAGAGTAGGTATTCTGTTGCTGCTGTTGTGAGGGGAGACTAGAGAATTTGCAGAGAGAAATGAAGAAATGTTAAGAACTGATTGTACTGAAAAAAAAAAAAAAAAAAAAAACCAGCTAGCACTGAGAAACAAAATTATTCCCAAGATGGTGGGAGAAAGTTTTATTAACAGTTAAGCAACCACATTTTAACAGGCACATTTCACTGTAAGTGTGAAGTGTTCCCTGGTGAACAAAATCAAGTAATAGGAAAAACACCTTTTCCGAAAGGGCTTTGCGCAAGGAATTGCTGTAACTTGCCTGTGTCCTTAAAAGTTGTTTTCCTCGATGATGTGTAGCCTTTAAAATGGGAGCCTCGTGTAAAGGTGACTCCCTGGGGAGATACCTCCTTTTCCGTTACCACTTAATTTTGGTTCTACTTACTTTGGAGGAAATGATGTGTGCAAAACCCAGGGCAGGATCAACCTGTTGTGCAAACAAGGGAATCATTTACTGTCTGTTAATTTATTGCAGCGGAATATCAGGCACTCTGCAGCAGTGGGCCGGGGATGACGTCTGCAGGCAGTGGTAAGGATTCCTTTCAAAATTTACTACCTTCAGCATGTGCAGAGGCAGCATCAGCTTTCCTGTGGGTTTCCAGTTGATCCCCTCACACTAGTCTGGCCTGACTCCCTCTCCGGCCATCGCTGTGCCATGTATCTGGGATGCTCAGAAGCTTTCAGTGGCAGAGCAGCCAGGGCACTGCGGGCTCTAAGATTTCTGGGTGTGGCTGTGGGGCGTGGCTACTGAAGGGATCAGGTGCTCTCCCAGTGTGGTTGATGGGTGCCCGCAGATGAGATATAATGGCTTTCGTCGCTCGTGCTTGAAAAGGGGCAGCCTGACTCTCCTCGGATCTTCCACTATCAAGTACGACTCAGGATGAGGGGCTGGTTGAAGCATTCTCCATCTGCATTCTGAAGGATCCTTAACTGTTAAGTGCTCAGTATTGTAAGACAGCAATAGGGAGCAGTGACAGCAATTAACTGAGTCTGAAGAGAATAAAATACTTAACTAGAGAAATACTGGTGAGAACTGGAAGTGTGAAAATAGGTGACAAGAAAGAGGAAGGGATTATTTTATTAATACAAAGCTGCGCGGTTTGATTCAGGGAGATCTGAAAGACCATGGACTGGCTGAATTGATTGTCAGTTCATTAAGCATGATTAGTTTCATCATTGCCTGTGAATGAAAATGGGGAGGAAACATTCAGAGGAGGAGAGAGGAGAGGTAAGAAAACTTATAATGAATAAGGAGGTAGTGGGGAATAAGTAAGTTGTGATAGGGACTTAGAAAAACAAAAAAAGTCAACCCTAATTTATACAAGAGTCAGGCACTAGGATTCGAGACTATCCATTCACTGGTTGTCATTCTGCACCTGCCTTGGGGATGAGACCTCCCCCCAGCCTCTCAATTGTGAGAGTGTAGAAAAGGGAGGGCCCCACCTCAGGTCGGCAGAGTAGCAGGGGCTTTTTCAGAGCATGTGGTGTTGGTGCTGGCTTTTGACCTGTAAATAGGCCTATTCCAAGCATTCCTGACAGTGAAGAGGGCATTGTATGTTCACAGAAGAGTGAGAAGTTTGGGATAAGTAAACAAAGAATTTATATTTCAGTTTAATCTTGAGGTTATTGTTGAGCCTATGAATATTTGAACCACGAGAATTACATAATCACCTTGTTTTTAGGGTGGTAAGAATGGTTGCGGCATGGAGAGTAGATGGAAGAAAGAGGAGCTGGCGGCGGGGAGACCAGCTGGGGGGACTTGAGATCTGCTTTTGATCCTCTTTTCCATCTTGGTGCTTGGACTAGGCGAAGCTCAGGAGGTCTCCATCAACTTGATTAAGGATTGGTTATCTCAGCTGGTAGTTCGAGAAAATATCTTAGTGAGAGAAAGGGATTGATTCCCAGTGAAATCGGTTTTTTTCCCCTTCCAGTAGGTTCTAAGGTCATTACATTTATTGTAGTGTTATATTTTTAACAGTTTCAGTCAATATTTATTATATAATGTTAATTGATTTGGAACTTTTTTGTGGTGCAGATATAAATGAATGTGCACTAGATCCTGATATTTGCCCAAATGGAATCTGTGAAAACCTTCGTGGAACCTATAAATGCATATGCAATTCAGGATATGAAGTGGATTCAACTGGGAAAAACTGTGTTGGTAAGAAGTTTCACCTGTTTTCGGAAACATTTCCTGCATAATGCATTCCTTCTTTCATTGCTGGGAGAAAACTGCCTTTGAGTAGTTTAGAGGACTGGGCAAGTGGACACTTTATATTTCGTATGTCAGCACAGCATATGCATGCCTTTAGTAACAAAAATTTACATCACTGAATCTTGACAATTTATGAATAAGGATGTATCAGATTCACTCCTTGAAATGATTCACTCCTTAAAATAATGATGTATCAGATTTCACTCCTTTAAAGAGAAGCTCCTCAGATATATAGAATGCAGAGATTCAGAGCCATTCTCATGTAACTACAAAGTCAACCTTGTTTTTACTGAGAGAGAAGCAGCTCTTCTCCCAACCATTTATTAGACTTAATCAGACAAAACAGCTTGTTTTCGGGAAAAGCTGCTCTCTGTTAAGTTAAACCTTTAAAGTTGGGTTTTGCTTCAGACAGGCATATTATTCAGCTAAAAGCAAGGAGTTTTCCTGAACTCCCTGAATCATGAATCTAAATTCCCCATGACAATTACAAACTATACAGATTACTTTATGCTTTACAATCCTAACTGGAGACAATTTGAATTATTCTAAGGAAGAAACACCCATTCTGGAACTAACACATATCAAAGATGGACCACATTTTCTAAATATTTATTTAGTTCCTTAAATCAATAAGGTTAATCCTTTTACTTCTGACAAAATGAATTAAATTACATAAACTTATAAATTTAATTATATATCTTTATAAAGATTAATGATTTCCAGCAGATCTGTATATTCTTCCTGCTAAAGAAATAAGTGAACTAAATAGCCTGACTTTGGGCTTTGTAGGTATTTAGTTTAGATGACCAGGTCAAGCCTTTGTTTTCCTAAAATGAGATAACTTAGGTAAAAGCTAATGATAGAGGAGTTTGGCCTTTTTCCTTGAATTGATCATATCATTATGACTTTAAAGATCTAATGTAAAAGAGCAAAGGAGTTACAGGCAAAGTTTGGGCCATTTTAAGTGTTCATTTTCATTGACTTTCCAGATATTAATGAATGTGTACTGAACAGTCTCCTTTGTGACAATGGACAGTGTAGAAATACTCCTGGAAGTTTTGTCTGTACCTGCCCCAAGGGATTTATCTACAAACCTGACCTAAAAACATGTGAAGGTAAACCATATTTCTGTTTTTATGCTATGTACTTTGCTATCTTTTGGAATGCCATTAGAAAATCATAAGACTAAATTAGGGTCCCCTGTATTTAGACAGTTACGCCAATTTAGTTGAAATTCTGTGGTTCTAAATGGCATTACTATGTATTTTGTTAGCCACTTAGGATATTTATTTGCAATTGGCATTTTAATTGCCATCATTTAATAGATAAATAAAATGTTATATATCTGCTATTTGAGCTATTAATTCAGAAATCACATATATATTTACTCCAGATTTTCTGAATAAAAGGATTCATCCAAGTGCTGTATTCTATACTATAGAGATGTACTATTCTACATTATAGAGTTACTATTTTGGCATTCCATCTAGTGTAGGGAAAAATGATTTAGGCCAGCTTTACTATGTGGAACGAAGGATCTCTAATAGCAATTGAGGCCAAAGTTGAAGTACTCTTTTAGGCCCAAGACTAGATTTTAGCAGTAATGTAGACCTGTTTTCATTTCAGACATTGATGAATGCGAATCAAGTCCTTGCATTAATGGAGTCTGCAAGAACAGCCCAGGCTCTTTTATTTGTGAATGTTCTTCTGAAAGTACTTTGGATCCAACAAAAACCATCTGCATAGGTATTTATCTTCTGAGAATGATTTTTCTGTGTCTATCAATGTTGTTATACTTAATGTCAGCTTGTCCTGCAAAAGAGTTTAAGTATGGATGAACAACATTAAAAACTTCCTTCTTCCTTGTTTCAAATGCTGCTTTTTCCTATAATTCCAAGGTGTATGTTTGAATTTTTATATAGATTCTATTAAATATTCCCTCATCTGCAGAAACCATCAAGGGCACTTGCTGGCAGACTGTCACCATTGATGGGCGGTGTGAGATCAACATCAATGGAGCCACCTTAAAGTCCCAGTGCTGCTCCTCCCTCGGTGCTGCATGGGGGAGTCCGTGCACCCCATGCCAAGTTGGTAAGAGAAACCCATGCTGCAGTACCTATATCATTCTAGTCTCTCCATAAAAAAGGGACATGTATCTAGACTCACATGAGAATTTTGAAATATTTAATCCTGATGACCCCAAACATATTGCTGAATGGGAAATAAGTGTCAACTTTTATATGATTTTGTTAATTAATTATCTTCTATCCTCATATTGTAAGGTGGTTAGTTTTTTGGTGTTGCTTCCCTGGAGCACCAGTTCCTACCGACTCTTGGGAACTTTGTGGTGAGGGATTCTGAGCTTTTTATAGGTATAGATTCTCCTTCAAAAAGCTAATTGATGTGAAGAAACCAGTATTCCTAACTAAACTTCACAAGGATTGCTGGCAAATATCTACATCTATTGGGAATTTGAGGTTTGAGAGGCTTGCTCATGGTTTTGCCGATTGAATGTTTCGATATATAAATGTGTAAATTTATGTGAATGCCGGAGGGCATGAGATCTCCAAATTCTAGACTGTGTTTTCCCGATTCATGTTACAGTAATTCTATGGCGTGATTCCTATTTTCAGGTTAACAGCGAGAGAGAAATCTACCTTCGGTTTCCGTCTTAGATATCACTTTAATATGAGCTATAGGGTGTCCCAGTGTCTTTTGGAATATATTAGTGGAATTGAGCCTTATTTGAGGAGACATTTTATTATTGTTCTTCCTCACCTATGCAATCTCAGAAACGCTTTGTTATCTCATACTTATTTATAGCAACACAATCTACTTCATGTTCCAGGTCATGTTTTTCATACTATGTTACAACTGCAAAGTTTGGATATTGTCATCTCAAATTTGTTTTCTGTTTTGTTTTTTGTTTTTATTACAGATCCCATATGTGGTAAAGGGTACTCAAGAATTAAAGGAACACAATGTGAAGGTATTTCTGATTACTTATAAACCATACATTTTTGTGTGCATGATGAATGTTTGTGTTAACTTGGACTGGATAAAGCTGTCACATAACTTCACTAGGGAGAAGTATGCAACAGAGGAAAAAAAATAATGAGAACTACAAAACAGAACAGCTGTTAATTTCACACATGTATATATGGTATTGCTAGTGTCAGACCGCTAAGTCCAAAGGAAAGGGTGGATGGCTGAAAATGTTTTAGATTGATCATAGTTGAGAGAGACTGCACTTTCAAAATGCTGTCAGGAAGAGAAAGACAGGAAGTTTTTGATGAAGCTGTAAAATTTACGTTTCTTCAGTTTGTCCGGGCATTTTTTTGTTTGTTTTGCAGTCGTGGATGATTTAGGACACATTCTGTTTTCTCTTTATTGAAAGAGAGTTTTTTCAGTTTGCTGTGATTCTTTCTCGTGGAGTTTCAGATAGACATAGGTCATGGTGACTAACACAACCTGACATGACACAGCAGCTGAAAAATTTTAAAAACAGCAATTAGTCCCATATGTGGGATGAAATGAAGTTTTTTCCCTGTTAAAACAAAGAGGCACACTACAACCCCCACCCAAGGTCTTGCTTTCCAAATGATGACTGAATCCTTTGGCCTTTCTCTGGTCCAGACCTGCTGTTAATAACTTATCTGACCTCAGCAGCATATTTTGTTGTACAAGTGGCCAAAACAAAAAACCCAGAAAGGTAGATTTCACCCTCTCCCCGTTGATCTCTCTTACAAGGAAAGATTCAGAATACTTTTTCAGCGTTTCTGATGTGGAAAGTTATTTCTTCGAAGTAGAGACACAGTGTGTATGAGTTTCTTAAATAATGCTCCCCGCCCCCCTTTTTTTTTTTTTGGCATTGGCAAGTTAAGTGCCTTTCTTTTGATTAACTTGGTGATGAATATTTTTCCAAATTAAGTGCAGAGAACATATTGCTGTCCACTAAGCAAACTGGGAAGGACTGGTACATTTGAGAGAGATTAGATGAATGATGAATGAATGAACATGAGTATCTTTTAATTCTCCTCAACCCAACCTGGGACCAAAGCATTGACAGCACAGCCCAAGACCATTGCTGAGTTAGAATCGATTGCACATTTTCTGGTGATTTCTCAGCACTTCTTAAAAGAGACCCTTCACTGGCCACACATACTCCTTGCTGGGATATTTTTCTATGCTGACCTTCAAGCTATTTCTTCTTTTTTAGTTTGAAAGACCAGGATTTTGCTTCTCTACTTATTTCCAGACATCTGGTCTCAACAGAGCTGTTTCCAAGAACTCATACTAGCTGCCTGTCTCTGCAACTTAAAGGTTATTCCCTGAAACCGATGGAGAAACTCTTATGTCTTTAGTAGTAGGTGGGCTCACTCTGGTTCCTATTCAGACACCCTAGAAATTCTACAGGAACTATTTGTAGGCAAACTAGTTTTATGAACCTACCAGGTTCGAAATGGATAATTATGACTAATTCGAAATAATTATGACTCCGTGAGTGGAATAAGGTAAAAATGATACTATAAAGTTATATTAACTTTGTCCTTTTTTTCTTTTTAGATATTGATGAATGTGAAGTATTCCCAGGAGTGTGCAAAAATGGCCTGTGTGTTAACACTAGGGGGTCATTCAAGTGTGAGTGTCCCAATGGAATGACTCTGGATGCCACAGGAAGGATCTGTCTGGGTAAATACCGAGCTCATTATTTTTCTAATAATAATTTATTAAAGATTATTAAAAATGCAGTTAACAAGATACAGCTGAGCACTTAGCTTCAGGTACAAACACATGCTCCAAAATTCAGCATGTCCAATAGGGTCCATGGCTGCTCCTCCAAACAGTCTTTCAAATTAGTAAGGAGCAGCTGTAGTTTCTGTTGATACGCAACTCTTCTTTAAATCACCAGTATCACAGTTATTATTCCAGAGCTCTTAAATCGGCCCCATATGCCATGAACTATAAAATACAAGGTGAGTGGTGGATAAAAGAACAACATTTGCACATAACTGGAAACTGTGGCCCATGTCTTCTAAGCATATCCTGACATTGTCCAAAAGGACAGGTCCTTGCAGAAACACTGGTGGACATCATCAAGAGTGAAGATACCACTCCCTTGAGAAGTGAACCTGAGAGACCCCAGGGCAGGTGTCATTGCTAGTCATAGTGGGATACTCTGCCAACTGCTAGAGCCTAAGTGGGATCCTCGTGCCAAATTATCTCACCCCAGCTCTAAGTCCTTAGAACTCTAAGTCCTAATCCCTATGAGCTCATGATAGCAGCAAGTTTGAGATCCCACAGTCACGCATATGAGGTCTGACAGACTTATTCTGGTGTCACTACTGTGGCTTCTGCCTGCCTAGAATATATCCCTTGGGTCACTGGTTTCTGAGGCCATGACTGTAGAAATGATGCTTACCTGTCCTGTGCATCTGAAACCACATTACTCTGAAGTGCATGCTCAGTGAAGACTACTACAGGTGGTTGAAAGAGTGGTATACAGTGAAGGATTTTGCTCACTTACAAATTAGAATTAACAAATTTTAACTATTGAAGTTTATGGTGTATAGCTTAAATAAATAATATGGAGTAGAAACGGGAATTCAGAACCAAAAGTAGTTTTGTAACTAAGGATGTCAGTTAATGCTATTCTGTGTCTTAGTTTATTTGTTTAGGAGGAATCGGCATTTAATGAGAATTTTCTAGGTTCTTTAGTTGAAAGATGCTTCAGTGTTTAATTTAGGGTTCATTTAAAAAAAATCCATCTTAGTGAAGGCAGCCTGAATATAAAGCTGCCCAGAAGACTTCCAAAACTTTCTAACATTAGAGGAAGCCAGGGCAGTTAGATAAATTGTTAATGACCCTGTTGTCAAGAAGAAAGAGAAGGAAGACACATCTCATGTTTTAATTCATTACACTTCATTGTTTTCAGATGCATAATCTCATCTGAGCTTCACAGAACCTTCTGTGAGATGAGTACAACATCCTATAACTGATGTGGAAATTCAGGTTTAGAAGTAGTGATTTATTGAAGAGAATCCACTGAGTTACAGAACAGGACCAAAATCCAGGTCTTCTGACCTCTGCTCTGCTATGCTTTCTACTTTTTCATAATCCCATGAATTTGGGTTTGAGGTTGGAAGTATCACACATATGTATACTGAAGAATGTGCCCATAAGCACAAGTTGAGGTAAAAGAAATATTTGAGAAGAAGAGTGAATGGCTTTTCTTTGCATTTTTCTCTTTAATCTCAAGATGCTCCAACAATAAAAAAAGTACAGTTGGCTTTTAGCCGTGGAGGACATGCCAAGACATCATGGCGTGCATGCATCGGTCATAGGTATTTTTGTACAGAAGGAAACATCCCCCAAAAGAGCATTGTGGGATCTCTCAGAATACCATTCCTTATGTAGAATTACCAGAAAACACCTAATGTTGAAAGGGAACTTTTCAGAAATAAGAGGTACAAATATGGGCTGACAAAGAGAAGAGAGTCTTTATTAGGCAAGAATATCCAACACAGGAGCCTGGGATATTTTTTTTTAATTCCATTCAGTAAGTATACAGCAAATTATTGTGTGTGCAGTACTTTGCCTAACAGAGTGTTGGCATTTGGGGGCAGTGAAAGCAGTGTGGCTGTGTTTCACCTCCCTCTGTTCCCTCTGACAGACATCCGCCTGGAAACCTGCTACCTGAGGTATGAGGACGAGGAGTGCACCCTGCCTATTGCTGGCCGCCACCGCATGGACGCCTGCTGCTGCTCTGTCGGGGCAGCCTGGGGTACTGAGGAATGCGAGGAGTGTCCCATGAGAAATACTCCTGAGTATGAGGAGCTGTGTCCCAGAGGACCCGGATTTGCCACAAAAGAAATTACAAATGGAAAACCTTTCTTCAAAGGTACAATGTTAAGTTTTCCATAGCCCGTTACTTTCCTTTTTAGACCAACAGGATGCATTTTCATGATCTCAGGGTTGTATTTGATCATCCCAGCATAGACTTTTTGCTTTCTGAATTATATAATTATCTTTGTTTAGAAAAATATGGACTTTTTAAAATTTTTTTAACTGTTTGGTTCAGGAAGTCCTGGGAGTTAGAATTGTTCTGTATAGAGAGAGAGTTTCTAGATGGCCCTCTTAAATGCCGATTACGTAAATTCAAAGGAACTTGAATAATTTTGCTTCCAAAGGCTATGATAATTCATTGCTGAAGAAGGACTTGATGTTCTGAAGATTTAATCTCCCAGTTCTGTCTCACATGTAGAAATGACCTTGCATATTTCTTGAGTGTTTTGTCTTGTTTTGGAAAGGCCCCTTTTGTGGGAAACTCAGGTCACATTTTACATGTATGCAGAGTCTTCTAGTATACAAGAAGCTCTTTAAATTATATTAATGAGATCTTGGGCTGGACACAGTGGCTCACGCCTATAATCCCAGCACTTTGGGAGGCCAAGGTGGGCAGATTATTTCAGTCCAGGAGTTCGAGACCAGCCTGGACAACATGGTGAAACCCTGTGTCTACAAAAAAAATAAATAAATAAAATAAAAATAGCTAGGCATGGTGGCACACACCTGAATAACTGAAGCACAAGAATTGCTTGAACCTAGAAAGCAGAGGTTGCAGTGAGCCAACATCATGCCCCACTTCACTTTAGCCTGGATGACAGAGCAAATCCTGTCTCAAAAAAGAAAGAAAGAAATCTTAAGGTATATAACATTGAGAAAATATTTTTTAGTTGTACAAATTATTTGCAATAATTTAAATTATAAAATATATCTTTGAAATTTTCGAATTTTTGGTATATCCAAAAAAGCACCAAACAGTAATAAGTAATATCTCATTCTGCTACACAGTCAGTTGATAGCTGTAGGATAATATATTCTAATAACCTTCTTTGTGCTTTAAATATAGATACTGGTGGTTTAGAATATGTTATCTATTCATTCAGCAAGTAGTGGTTAAGTATTCACTGTGTATCAGGTCGTGTGCTGGGCCCTAGAAGTCTGAGCAGACACATTTCTTTGCTTCTTTAACAATGCTTTTAAAAATGTAGAAATTTAAAAGGCTAGAAATGTTTACAAAGTCATATATCATGGATCATCACACATTCTTTGAAATGTGTATTGCCAAGACCATAAATCAAGAACTTCTAACCTTCAGGATTTAAAATGGTGGGCACTGAGACCTCCTGACTGGTTGCTCATAAACCTTTTTTGCCCCACATTTTCTTATTCTTGAAGATATCAATGAGTGCAAGATGATACCCAGCCTCTGCACCCACGGCAAGTGCAGAAACACCATCGGCAGCTTTAAATGCAGGTGTGACAGTGGCTTTGCTCTTGATTCTGAAGAAAGGAACTGCACAGGTCAGTGAATGAGCCTCAAGGGCCAGGAGAGGGGATATCCTTTAGACCTCTTTTTAAATTAAATTAAATTAAATTTTTATTTATTATACTTTAAGTTCTGGGCTACGTGTGCAGAATGTACAGATTTATTACATAGGTATTACACATGCCCTGGTGGTTTGCTGTACCCATCCCCCCATCATCTACCCACCCCTTGCTATCCTTTCCCTAGCACCCCCCACCCCCAACAGGCCCCAAACCTCTTTAACATGTTGCTGCAAAAATAAGGCTGTCCTGAGGCTCAGTTGCTGCCACTTGTTGTTTTTGTGCAGACATTGACGAATGCCGCATATCTCCTGACCTCTGTGGCAGAGGCCAGTGTGTGAACACCCCTGGGGACTTTGAATGCAAATGTGACGAAGGCTATGAAAGTGGATTCATGATGATGAAGAACTGCATGGGTAAGTTTGGGATCATTTGATCAACACAGAAAGGAGGATTCCAAGAAGCTTTGATGGCTCATAGCCTATGTCCTGCTGCCCCAGTGCACTGGGCTGCAGACCAGTGAGTTAGGAATCAGTCTGCAGCAGAGGGAGACGGAGGTAGAAAGAATGAGGGAATTCATGCTGTAGGTTTGTGGGTGACAGTGGACACCAGATGTGGGTCCTTGAGAAGTGAGTTTAACACCTGGAATGGATACCCAGTGGGGAGAGAGAACAATTGAAACAGAAGGTGTAGTAGAGGTCCCTATACAGGATTTCTGTCCAACACTTCTAGAAAAGGCGATTGATAAGCTGGTTGTCTTAGGTCTGGTTTCCTAGAAACAAAGTTTGAAATGGAGAGTGTTGCAAAAGTGACATTTCTTTCTGTGAGCAAATTCTCTCAGAAGGTACTTGTCAGGAAGTGAGGAAAGCAGGGTAGTGCAGGAGAAGAAAATAAATCAAGAGTATGGCTGTATTTTGGCTTTAGTCTAATTCTGCGGGGTGCTCTGGTATATGAATGCCACCAGAAGTTGTCCCACCTTGAGACAAAGAATGTGTATTGCCTTGTTTGGGGTCAAGATTTTATACTCCCATGTCAGTTCAATCAATTATTGACCATGGGTGGTCCCTAGCATGGGCGAGGGGTATGATCTCTCACCTCCCAGGCATTTCTGAGTGAGACAGAAAAGGAAGACTGTGAACCCTTATTAGCCAGGACACCCAGCAACGGGTGGGGAAGGTGCTCTGGTCTGGTAGAGGAGATGAGGCCACCACTGCCGCCACCAGTAACATGGTCATTTCCATTTTGCAGATATCGATGAGTGTCAGAGAGATCCTCTCCTATGCCGAGGTGGTGTGTGCCACAATACAGAGGGAAGTTACCGCTGTGAATGTCCGCCTGGCCATCAGCTGTCCCCCAACATCTCTGCATGTATCGGTAAGGAGGAAGACATTCACACCAGTTACTTGGGGTTAGTTGTTGACCGACATCGCTGCCAGAGTCAGAAGCTTATGTCTGGGTGTTTATTCTTCTTCTTTTCCCAACAGACATCAATGAGTGTGAGCTGAGTGCACACCTGTGCCCCAATGGCCGCTGTGTGAATCTCATAGGGAAGTATCAGTGTACCTGCAACCCTGGCTACCATTCAACTCCTGATAGGCTATTTTGTGTTGGTAAGTTCTATCTTTTATTTTGTTTTATTTCTTCCTAAAACACTCAATGTACTCCAGGTTTTGTTTTCATCACTGCTTGTACTTATCTTTCCTGTTTCCCTGCAATATTCTTTTTATAGTGGCTCACGATCTTTGGATCTCATCTCCATTATCTTTAAAGAACCAGTTAAATGAAGGACGTGGGATGTTTTAGCTCTAATAAGCATAATTTGACCCATGCTGTTTGGATAGGGAACAGTAGTATGTGCGTGTTTACGCACATGCATACCGATGCTCATTAACAAATGGTAGCTAGCCACCTGAAATAAACTAAACACAGGGAGCACTGTGGAAAAGGCAAAAATGCTGAGGTGAAATCTCTGCCCTTATGTGGTTTAGATAAGCTAGAAGATTTCAAAGAATAACTATTGGAAAGAAGACCATGGAATGTTCATATCTTACACTGCAGTAGAGGCTATGCCTGGCACTCCTTAAAAATGGGTTTCTGTGGGACAAGAATTTCGCTTTGTGGTCAGCCCTCTGTAGGTTTAGTCGTGCTGTGAAGAGTGGCACAGACAGCCCTGTGGCTTTATTGTGCCCCAAGTCAAAGTGAAACTTTGTAGAAACTGCCAGTTTTTGCCTGGTTTGGGGTGTATACCATGTGGAACTGCCAAGTCTCACATGGTTTCTACCCAAAACCATAAATCAGCCCAAATTTTTCTGAAACGTGGCCCAGGACAACTCAGAACTTCAACTCAGGTTCTTGAAAAGGATTGGAACGTCAGCCAATCAAACTGAATTTCAAGTTTGTGAGTGAACCTGTGGCCAAGAGAATTTCATCCACGTGCCCATTATCATAGCTAAGATGTGTTCTCCTAGCACCCAGTACTTCTCCTGCGTTGCAAATGGCACATCATGCATGGTGCAATTAATTGTTCATTTGTCTTTTGGCCTCAGTGTAATCACTTTGAAGGCATGGGTTGTGTCTGTCCCATTCACTATTAGATCCTCATCTCTAGCACATAGTAGGTAGGTAGTTTGTTGAAGGAGTCGAACAGTGACTTCAGTTGCCCTCGAATGCTTTTTCCCCTTTATTTGACCTATGCCAGGAAACTTTAAAAATGTGCCATACTCATAAACATAGAGGGAGGTGTGTTTGCTCATTTTTGTGATGCTATAACAGAATACCTGAAACTGGTTAATTTATAATGAGCAGAAATTATTAATTCACAGTTCTGGAAGATGGGAAATCCAATATCAAGGTGCCAATATTTTGCATGGTCCTTCTTCCTACATTATCCCATCACAGAAAGCATGAGGCTGAAAGAGAGCAAGAGGGGGCTGAACTTGCTCTTTGATAACAGCACCAATCCCACCGTGAGGATAGAGCCCTCATAGACTGATTACCTCTTTTAAAGGTCCTGCCTCTTAAATAGTATTACAATGGCAATTAAATTTCAACATGAATATTGGAGGGGACAGACATCCAGACCATACCAGAAGGTAATATTATTTTCATTTCTCTTAGACATTGATGAATGCAGCATAATGAACGGTGGTTGTGAAACCTTCTGCACAAACTCTGAAGGCAGCTATGAATGTAGCTGTCAGCCGGGTTTTGCGCTAATGCCTGACCAGAGATCGTGCACCGGTGAGTAGGTTCTAGCCTCATGTTCATTCTTTCAATAGGTTCCTAAGTAAAGTGGTTTAGGACCCAGGTTTTGGAGTTGAGCAGTATTGAGTTTAAATCCTTGTTTGTCATATATTTTAACTGTATCCTTGATCAACATACTTAGTATTAGAATCCTCATCTATAAAATGGAGTTCAAATTGCCTGTGTAAAATAGTATTTACAGAGCTTACCACAGTACCTGGCACATCATAAATGGAATATAAAATACGTTTTCCTTCACTGAGCAGACTTTTGAAGAGTTTGATGTTTTGGCCTAATTCAGAGCTACTCCAAATGTATTCCTTGAACCATCAGCAACAGCATAACCTGAGAACTTATTAAAAAATGTATCTCAGGCCCATTCCAGCTACAGAATCAGAAACTACTGGGGTAGATCCCAGTAATTTGTGTTTTCACAGGCTCTCCAAATGATTTGGATGCATGCTGAAGTTTGAGAACCGGTGGCCTGATTTATACTTCCTTTTTTTTTTTTTTTTTTGGTCACCCTGTGCTGTGAGAGATGAGAGCTAGGTGGTGGTGAGAAACAAAGTGGGTAATAACACAGGCTTTGATTTGGGCTTGGTTTAAGAAGAGAATTGGGATTTAGGAGCCAAAATTATTTTATGTGACCTAGAAAAAATGTCCCTTAAAAAACTCTACCATAAATTTGGCTATAAAAATTGTTGAAATTAAATATTATTACTAAGAGCATCTAAGTAGGTATAGTTATTTCAAGTAATTCTTACTTTAAAATATTGCTAAAACAGGTGATAGACTTCAGGCATTTATGATTTGACAATAAGGAAAATAAGATTTATAATAATTTTTGAATGATAAATGAGATAAAGATTTTAATTAAATGATAGACTTTTAAGCAGGTGTGGACTTTGCCTTTGAGTAGTGTATTATAAATCTTGAAAATGATTTTTTTCCTTTTTTACCAAGGATAACCTGATGGGCTAATTTACGTAAAGCTTTATTTGGATTTGAGAGTTAATAGTCTTTACTAGTAGACTAAGTTTATTTGACTTGGGTCAGTTAATATTTTCTCACTGAATAACGGAACCAATATGAACAACCTGTGGTTGTTGGTTTTTATTCTTTGCAGACATCGATGAGTGTGAAGATAATCCCAATATCTGTGATGGTGGTCAGTGTACAAATATCCCTGGAGAGTACAGGTGCTTGTGTTATGATGGATTCATGGCATCTGAAGACATGAAGACTTGTGTAGGTAAGCAAAGAAGATGGAATTTTTCATCTTGTCTGGTTCATAAGCACTGTTAAATTACATAAAGTTAGTTTGGGTCATTAAAATAAAGATTCCATAGGACAAGTAAGGATGGGTTAGGGGTACAGAACACAAAGAGAGCTTTCTTGTGGCTATTAAATGGTACTCTTGTCACATACGTTATGTGGACTGAGCTGACCATCAACTCCAGATGGACATTTCTTTTATGTCTATCCATTACTTTTGCCCACTTAACCCTCTTTCTGCTATGACTAGAATGTAGGCTTTTTAAATGCCTGGCTAAAGGCAAACAAAATCTACCTCTGACAAGAATGCGGTAAACTTTAGAATTGATCCATTTGTTGTGTATAGTTTCTATTGTTATGCCTTGAAATTTGATAAAGTTTTCTTCTACGATATCTAATCTGCCTTTCCTCACATGCAGAGTATTTTTCATCTCTAAAAGTTTGACCTGGGTATTTTTTTTTTATCTTATGTGTCTCTGCATAATAAGTTCAATCATTCCTCTAGCTGTTTGAACACATGGAATACAGTTACAATAACTTTTAGTGTCTTTGTCTCTAACTGTATCATCTGTGTTAGTACTGGGTCATTTGAATAAGTTGACTTTTTCATTTTGGGTAATATTTTCCTGCTTCATTGAGTGACTGGTAGTTTTTGATTGGATGCCAGATATTGTAAATTTTCTCTTACCGAGTGCTGGGTATTTTTGTATTCCTAGAAATATTTTTGAACTTTGTTCTGAAATAGAGTTAAATTACTTGGAAACACATAGAACCCTTTCAAAGTCTTGCTTTTAAGCTTTGAATCCTTTCAGCTGCAGTTAGTCTAGGGGTAATTTTGCTCTGTTAGAGAGGTAAGACCCTTCTGGATATTCTACCAGATTCCCTGTGAATTATGAGGTTTTCCAGTCTGGCTGGAGGGAACAGGCACAATTCCAGACCACCTGTGAACATTGAGGATTGTTCCCTCTCATTTTCTTGGGCAGGGCTTTTCCCAGCCTCGAGTAGTTTGTTTCCTTACACGACTGTGCTGGTCACTATTCCTCTGAATACTTGAGGACGACTCTTGGCATGTCTCTGGCATTGTTTTCTTCTGCGTAGCTCTCCCCTGTCCTTTTTCTGCTCTGTGACCCCCTAACTACCTCAGCCTTCCAGGATGCCCCGATTCATCTCCTCAACTCAAGGACACTGCCTGGTTCCGTCTGGTACCCCCTCCTTATGCCATGGGGTTATTCGGCAATCTGGGGCAATTGTAGAATTCACCTAGTTTGTTTTCTTTCTTTCAGGGATCACTGTCTTTTGTTGCTTAATGTTCAATGTCTGGAAACCATTTTTTTGACGTATCTATTGCCCATTTTTTGGGTTGTTTCATGTGAGAATGTAATTTTAATCTCTGTTATTCAGTCTTGGCCAGAAGCAATAGTCTAGTATCGATTATATTTAAATTTTTATCACATTTATCTTCTGAAAGCCTTTACTGAAAATTTTTGAAGTCCTAGAAATTAAAATGAATGTCATAAAAAATAATTTTTAATTTGGAAAAGAAGTCTTTATTTACATTAAGATAACCAGTTAATCTATCCTTTCTTTCAAAATATGGAAACTAAATTGTTAGCATCATTCAGACTGAATTAAAATTTTCATCTTGCAACAGAGTATGCTGTTAAAAAGTTTTCTAGACTGTCATATAAATGAGTCTAGACTCAGCCTGGAGTCCATCTGTTTATTTGATTACTTGGCCGGCTGCTTATTGGCCAGATGAAAGCCAGTCTGAGCTTGCTATGAAGAGCAAGTGTAAATTGGCCCCTAAAATTTAACATTGTTTTTCTGAGTAAAAACATTTTACCTTTTCTAATTTGTCATAGTTATTTTATCTCAGGGGGAAAGTATTCAATGATATCAAATAGTTACATGTATTCATAATACCTATGTTTTACAGATGTCAATGAGTGTGACCTGAATCCAAATATCTGCCTAAGTGGAACCTGTGAAAACACAAAAGGCTCATTTATCTGCCACTGTGATATGGGCTACTCTGGCAAGAAAGGAAAAACTGGCTGTACAGGTGTGTTTATTCAAGCGGAACAATAAAATATTAAGTAGTTAAGCGATTAGTATCATAATTATAGATTGATACATGTTTTAAAACTACTACATTTTAACTCTATTATAAAGCATTTTGCATAACGTTTTTCATTAATTTAGCTTCCACTTCTTTGAAATTTATCATCATTTATATTGGATCCAAGTTGAAGGTTTTTTCTTGACTTGTGGGAAAAAAATGTATTGAATAAATTAACACTGTAAAAAACACATTTATATGAGGTTAAAAATCACATTTTCATATCAAATTAGTGAACATGCTAATTACCAAATATTCATAGCCCTTTACTAAAGCAAGCCTTTTCCAGTAACTACCTTTGCCAACACTTCATTTAAGGTTTTATAACTGGAATTGCTCTTCAAAGGAACACATTCTACAATTCATATTTTTCATCAATTCCCACTAGTCTTCCAGTGCCTTAAATAGGAGCACTTTTGATGTATCAAGTTGTGTTAGTCCAAATATGTGTTTATTCTTGGGACTTAGCAAATCTTATGAAGTGATAATGGAACCTTTTGCAATCTTGTCTATTACCAATAGCACATGAGAAAATGTTTTCACAATATTTGTAGGAGATGATCCCATTAAATGCCAAATGAAGAAGTTACTCTGTGATAATGTCATTGTGTTTTGTTTATGAGTATTTCATTGGTATATTCAAATATGAGGCAATGACATTAAATCCATGGAATGTATAAGTTTTACTCTAGTTACTTATATGAATTTAACAGATTATGGCACATAATTTAAAACATAATGGAAACCATGGCGAGCTTGAATTAGGTAACCAAATAATTTCTTTATAAATAACAGTCTGTAATTCCAAAACCCAGTTTGGCAAGCTCTTATGATTTAAAACAAACATTAAAATATTTGCAGATTGGCAATGTGGCAAATGTGCAGATCTTCCTCTTAATTATATCAACATATTTCAAGAAAGCACCAAAATATATTTATTATTGTTTCAAACTGGCCAATAATGCTATTTCAAATTTATTGATATGTAGGATAATGGCAAAAATATTATTGTTGGTTCAAAAATAACAGATGCTAGCCAAATTATGAGAAGAAGCATGAAGCTGGAATGTTTTCATTTTCACTGTGTTACTCCTTACATGAAGCCTGGCTAGGTGTCCATTCTGATAAATGGCAGTGTTTAAACTCTCAGCTCCCCATATGGCCTCTCGGGTACAAATGGTGCTTAGCTTTGTATATCTATGGTTCGAGCTTTATTTTTAGCTTCCAGGATAAATGTAGGACTTGGTAAAAGATGATGGTCTGGCAGTAGTGAAAAGAAAGGTAAGATAGTTCTATATTATGTTTTACCTAATAGAGGATAATACCATTGTTTGTCTAAGATGAGTAAATTGAAATTCAACCCAGAGGCAGGGATGCTTACGAAAGAAGTTAATCTTATGGGACAGCCTTCATTCCCTGTAAGGAAGAGGTCTCTAGAATTCAGTGCTCCAAATTCTAGCTACCTGGGGCATGGGCAGTGGCTGATTATTTTAGGCCTTACCATGAAGAAAGCTTAAATTTTCATGTTATATTAATACAGTTTTAGGTAAATGAGATATAATGTTCACAACGCTGTTGGTGCAGTGCTGGTCAATAAATAAAAACTATTGTCAAATTAAATTAAACATAGACACAATGTCTAGAGACCATTTTAATGAAAGCCATGGCTTCTAATTTATATCTATTGTCCATTTTTTTTGGTTGTTTTATTTGAGAATGTAACAGTCTAGCAAAAATTTTATACTATTGTTTACTGATTCATTTTTCAAATCAGCTTAAAGAAGGAGAATCTTACTCTTAATATTGAAAGGCTTGTTTATCGTAGTTGAATTTGCACAGATACTAAGACTATGGTGACAAAGAGCTGTGCACTACGTTGCATGAGGTGACACCAGCTTTACATTGGAACAGAAGCCTTTTAGTCAATCACATGAACGCAGATTTGAAGTCAAAGGAGCACTCGATCCTTTCTTCAAATACTTTTCATTGATTTGAAGTCAAGGAAACATTTGAGCTCTTCCTCCAGTTTTAAAAATTAGAGCCTAAAATGATTTTCCAATTTGATAAAATCCAGCTAGCACTGTAGGAAGACTTGAGAGTTATGACCCTTTGATACCAGAGTAACATGGCATGTGATACTCTCATCTGAAGGAGTAGTACCCTGAATTGCGTTCTTAGTTATTCCACTCGTTCATGATCTTCAACAAATCACCAGGGTGCTCTGCAGTTGCTCAAACGTTCCCCTTGAGTAAATAACAACCCTGACCTATGGAAGGGCATCACATTTGATTGGAAATGGCTTAACCAAACGGAAAGTTTGGTATACTTGAAAATGTGTTTTAAAAAATCTGGGATACAGAAATTTTAAATCCCCTGTCACTGAGGCTCTTTTAGCTTTAATATTCGTGTCATTCACAACTTAGAACACCTTCAGGTTACCTTGGTAATGGCTTTGTTTATAATGTGCCAGGCAACTAATGTAAGTAGAGACAGGTATCTTGCCTAACTGGATAAGCAAGCAGACAAAAGGAATATGTCTACTTACTTATTTATTTGTTTGTTTAGATAGATGATTGTTTAAGGAAAAGAATTATGAAAATATGTATGCTATTTCTTAAGGAGAAATATGGTTTCATGAGAACTAAGAAAAAGTCCTCTGGGCTTCATTACAGTTTTGTCTAAATATTTCAGCTCCCTGTCATTACTGATTGTTTCCATTTTAACAAATAAACATGTTTTTTTCCCCCGATCACTTTAGCAATGTTCAGAATCCACCCACTGACTTACATTCCCAACCCACACAGATGCTAAGGGTTTCTTTTTACTCCTTAAGCTTTGTTCAGATTGTGGGTTTTGCCAAGGGGAATGTTCCATTTAATGGAGAGAGAACACATTTGCTTGAAACGTAGAACACAGCTCTTCTATCCTTGGCTTAAGTGGGCTGGATTACAATTTTTCTATGACCCAGCGTAAGGCTTGTGTTGCTTGTTCTACATAATTAAGGCCCTGCTAGGTGTCATCTTAGATGGGTGGTCTGGCTTTCACAAGCTAATTTTAAGACCCTACCTCCCATCACATGCTTACTTAGTTAACAAATAAAGCGAGCATACCATTAAGTGAAATTAAATCAGAGATGTTTTCAGTTAAAACGGCAGGATTTCTGGGTAATTCCAGATTGCAAACTAGCTGGTTCCTTTCACAAGAGAAATGTATCTGCTGGGTCTTGGTCCATAGGAGAGAATCATATATTTCAACCACCAACAGTCAATGAGAATTTGTGTTCATTTCCTTCCAGTTTCTTATCACTGCCAATTTTCTCCACTGGCTGTCAGTCTGTGAAAACTCCATGAGTGTTCAGTTAATAGTGTTGGCTCAAATTTGGATCCAGATTAAGAAATCCAAGTAGCCTTCACGTTTGGCCCCTTCATTCACAGTAACACCCTCTTCCTCAATGCCTAATCAAGGAGTTTCTGCAGTGCACGGCTCTGCCAGGTCAGGATCCAGGAGATGGATGCACAGATGGCGGGGAAGGCAGGTGTTTGTGTGGGTGATCCAGTCTCTCCCTGGGTGACTGTAACAGGAGGCCACAGCAGCCCCGAGCAAAAGCCTGTACTTGGATGACAGACTTGCGTGGGACATACCCAGACCCTGTGAGCAGGGTCTGTTCACACCACACGCTTGCCCTTCAAGAGAGCTCTGCCAGAGGACCTCTGAGTCCCTGTGACAAAGGTTTGGTGGGGTTTAAGAAGGTTGCGGCGTCAGCCTTAAATTTGAATTTTTTTGCTTTTCTTGGCTTATGCGATTCTTAATCTTAAAAATGAATTTTCTGTTTGCAGAGAACTTGTTCGGGAAAGAACATTTTTACAGAAAGAGATGTTCTTGGCAAGCATGTACTGTGTTTCCTTTGTATTATTGAAGAGTGTTTCAATGTGGCATTTTTGTTTGCTTGTTTTCCTTATGGCTCAGTTTCCCCTTCTGTTTGCTTTTATGATGAATTAAGTCTGCCATGGAAACAGTTAATGAATAGTAGTTGGTGCATGCATGCACACACAATCACATGCAAAAACTTTGTATTTGGAATTGCTTTATGACCACCAAGTCTTTCTGATTTACTTGTTAGATACTGAGAGTGTAAAGCATTGAGATAACAACTTATACAAATATTCACAAAATGGAGAATTGAATACTGGCTCCTGAGTTACCTCAAAGTCCATGATACACAGCCTTTTGCAAATATGGTTTCTTTTCACCTTGAAAACATTGCCATAAAACTGAAAATACTTTGTTAAATTATAAATTTCTATTAGCATATTATTGATGACTTTTAAAGGAACCTCTCCTTTAAAAAGAAATGATAATTTTCTTAATTGTAAGATTAAATATGGAAGGTAAAAGCCATATGAAAATAATACTCTTATAAAATAAGAGTAGCTTTGGTTATTAGAAAATTAAAAAAAAAAGATTACAGAATTACTAGATTAATAAGTTGTGGTCATCTCTGAAAATTATGCTGAGTAAAGATATTAGTGAATATTTCCATAAGTCACTTAATATTCATCAATACTTTGGGAACTCCATAAAGCAAGACTTAGAATAAAATCCTGATATGACTAAAGAAATGAGCTCAGCTAGGCAGCCGTGGGCCAAGGAAAGGAGTGCCATTCAGCAGATGGGGAAACTGAGTTCCAGGAGGTCCTGGCTCTGCCCTCACTGTCTGTGAGGCCCAACTTCTGTGTCCTCTTCTGAGAAACTGAAGATTGGGAGAATGGAATTTCTATTTCTTTCCACTTAGAAAATTCCTTGATTCTATGACATCTGGAGGCTTTGATACTTAAGCAGTTGAAGCTCCTTGTATCCACATAAGATGATCATGACAAATATGGGAGAGAAATTTATGCAGGACTCCACAAAAGTGGTGATTTGTTTCATGACTCCTGAGGGGAGCAATTACCTGAGGCAGAAAAGTTTGGACAGCCCTGCTTGGGAGCACTTGTGCTAGTTCTGTTAGGTCAGGTAGGGGAAGACGTACATTCTTGAATTCCTGTGCCTACTTAGCACTGTTATCCCTGAATTGGCCTTCCTTCTCATTTCCTTGGAATGTGCCATGCTCTTCTTTAGCTGGTTAAAGCTCCCAGTCACAGTCTAAAGCTATGTGCCTCCCTTGGCCTGCTGTAATAACTGGATTAGGTCTGTGTGGCTGCTAAGGTTACACTAAAATCCACCCATACAATGTGTCATGATTGAAAGGATATTCTTCCAGGCATGCTGCTTCAATTTTATGATCATTAGTGATACCATAAAGTTCTTTCGTAGGAGCAATCTGTTTTTTCATTTTGTGTTTGCTCTAGAAGTTATAAAGAAGTCAAAGATCCCAGGACCATTCAGAGCTTCAGATGGAACACTTGGCGAATGGCATGTTTGCAAACACTTTCAAATCATTTAATTGGGCTTCTTAAGTAAACAAAAAGGAAAACATGAGTTAGTTGCCCAGTTTCTTTTTCATGCCACTATTCAAGTGTTCACTGGAAATTCTTGCAGTGTTTTGTATGTCAAAATTTTTCTTCTTGACCTAAGATTGGTGTTAGATATTGGCTTCCATATAGAGTACTATATTTATGAGTTCTTGTTCTTAGTTAATGACAAAGTTGATTATGAGGGTAACCCATTATAGAATGGACTTATTTCAGGAAATTTTCACTTAATACTTTATATTCTTTTCTGTAACATGTTTATATTAGAGAGTCCATCTTGGCTAAAGTTGACAATGGAATTTTGGAGAATAGAACATTTTGGAGAATTTGGAGTCTTTTAGTAATGTGACCCTAATCCAGTACTCCTTATATTTTGACAAAATCTCCATTGGACAACTTGAGTTTTATGTGAAATATACAAGAAGCCTGGGCTCTCCAATGTGGTAGGCCTCTAAGAAGCTAGGGAAAGGATGCCTTATATACTGCCTTAAGGAACATTTTCTGCAAATGCTTAAATTAGCAATACCTAAATTAAAGCTTTTATAGAAATAAAGCATAATTAAGAGTGATTTAAGTTTAAGAATAAAAAATATTTTGTATATAAAATATAGTGCAAAAAATTTCTAATATGCCAACAAACTTGTATTTTTTTTTGTTTATACAAGATAGGAAAATAATACACATCATTACTCCATAGTTGACTTATTAAAAATACTAGCAATAGAAAATAAATGACCATGAGTATTATATTAAAACCATGGAAAATTAAGCAACTCATTTTTTGTTGTCTTCAGCTATAAAAAGTCACTTTGCAGTAACTGGAAACTTATGTTAAAATATGGAAAATAATTAGAGTTAATAGCTAGTACAATCATATCGTTATATCTTTATAAATTGAAATTTAAAGCTGTTCGATGTATGTAGAGTTTACATATGGCTGCAAAACCAATCTATACTATACCATGGGAAGTTTGAAGGCAAGCCAACTTTTGAATATTGCTAAGTTATTTTAAAAACCAAAAGACATTTGTGCTAAGCCTTTTTCTAAATCACTGCTTATTTTTGCAGACATCAATGAATGTGAAATTGGAGCACACAACTGTGGCAGACATGCTGTATGTACCAACACAGCAGGAAGCTTCAAATGTAGCTGCAGTCCTGGGTGGATTGGAGATGGCATTAAGTGCTCTGGTGAGTAGGAAAGTAACAGAGATTGCTTATCAAGGACTGCATAGATTACATGTATGAAAATATTAAGTTCTATAAAGTTATTTTGTGAACTATTGATTTTAACTGCCACACTTTCTGGTAATAATGATATAACCTTTTTCCATAAGATCTGGATGAATGTTCCAATGGAACTCACATGTGCAGCCAGCATGCAGACTGCAAGAATACCATGGGATCTTACCGCTGTCTGTGCAAGGAAGGATACACGGGCGATGGCTTCACTTGTACAGGTATGTTCACGCTGGAAACAACTATGTCAACACCAGCCAGAGAAGCAAGGCTTTCCATATTTCTCAGGCTAGCAATTTGTTTTGAAGACTGGGTCAGTTGATAGAAAAGATTCATCATTTGGCACTAGAGCTCTGTGGAAAATAAAAAAATGGAACCAGGTAAATTAGGGAGACCTCAAATGCTTCTAGATAGATAGATAGATAGACAGATAGATAGATAGATAGATAGATAGATAGATAGATAGACAGATAGATAGACAGACAGTTATGTTTAGGTGCCGTTACCGCATAGTTTACAGTGATCTGTGGTTGAATACAAAATGATACCAAAAAAGTCATAGTGTTCTCCACCTCAAGTCAGCTAGGCCTTATAATAGTTACAATTGGCATACGTATCATTATGTAACTAGATATAATGATGTCATTAGTTTAGACAAATCATACTTCCTTTTATATGCCTTACCCTTTATGTTTTTGTGCCTATTCCTCACCACCAACTTCCTTTCTGTAACAACACATGGGTAAGCTTGCTGTAGGAAGCTATGTAAGGAGAAGGGATTAGATGTTCTAGATTAGGAGAACAGTATATATTTTTCTCCAACAGGCCATCGTCATCATCATCATCATTCCATATTGGTATAAGTAAAAATTTCAAACCTGCTAAGGAATTCATTCACTTCCAATTTTGCAATAACATATTAATGAAATTTTCTTCTTGTCTCTAATTAATGGTCATAGAAGTAACAGAAACTGCTACACACATTTAAACATACATGATTAGACTTGTCATTACCTAACTTATACACATACTTACATGTGCATATACAGAACTTTTTATATCAGAGCTTTGGAATTAAATAGTAAGATCCATTACTCATTGGCCATTAGGTCACATAGCTTCCCCTTAACTTAAAACATAAATTTATTGTGAGCAGTTTGTTCATAAGAAGCCATTTAAGCACAAAAGCAGCTAAGGCCCATTAGGTGATTTACCTGGAATTTTTTTTTAATTCCTTGAAAGTTTTATCTCAGATGAAATCATTGTTGCCTAACTTATTGATGCTTTATCATCAAAAACCTCCCATCATTTTGAGAACGTATTCAAATTCTGTGTATTAGGCATGTATGATTTATGTGTCTGATATTTAAATGCCTGTGATTATTAAGAAAACCAGGGAGAGATTCAGCAGATGGAATTTTTTTGTCCCCTATGGTTGCCATTCTTTTGCACTTTTGGTGCCCATCTAAGCTAAGCCTGGAACTTGAGAAATAGGTACAAACATGATGTGTCCTTTCCTGTCATGCGTATGCCCTCCATGTGGATGACCCTTCTTCAACAGGCCTTAGTTTGCATGATTCCTTTGGCTTATTCATTTTACATCATTCAGGATAAATTATCATTCAGGATTCTGAATCAGCCCCATGTAAATTGCATATTCAATATTAGCCTTCCAAAGAGAAAAATTAATGAACTTAAATGTGTCAAATTGAAGTTATGACGAAACATTGCTGCACTGGAAAGTAGTTAGACCTGAGGAATTAGAAAGCCCCTAACTGAGGAAGAGTAATGTGTGTTTCTTTCTGTCTGTAGACCTTGATGAGTGCTCCGAGAATCTGAATCTCTGTGGCAATGGCCAGTGCCTCAATGTCCCAGGAGGATACCGCTGTGAATGCGACATGGGCTTCGTGCCCAGTGCTGACGGGAAAGCCTGTGAAGGTAACTGATTGGGAAGCCACTGGGAGCCTTGCTGGGTGTGATGAGATTAGGTTATTTAAACATTCCTGATGCCTTTTTTTTTTTTTTTAACTGAGGTGTGTTTTAGCTTCATGTCTAAGGTGGTCAGTTCAGTTTGTAGAGGGGTTAGGTTTCCAGCTGACCATTCTCTTGGTGCACAGAAAGCCTCAGCTCACTGGCCACAAGCTGCACATCGAGGCTTGGCTGCATAGTCTGCAACTGTATACCCGTTGGTCAGAGAGGGTAACCAAGTGTGCTTAACTCAGTGCAACCCATTTACCCCTATTGAGGGGGAAAAGAGCTCCAAGTGCAGGTTCCCTGATGATGTCCTGTTGTGGGATTATCATTAAATATGGAAACACAGGTTGTACTCCCCACTATATTTGGTTTCTAGAAATAAAGGCTTTAAAATAACAGCAGAGCAAATAGTCTTGTCCATATATAGAATGGTATGTCTCACATTTGCTCTAAATAATATATAGAATGGTATGTCTCATATTTGCTCTAAATATCTAACATATCTAACATATATAACTACCTAACATAAATAACATATATAACGTATATATATCTAACATATATAACAATGGAATTTGAAGAATTTGCAGAACGGTCCCATGTTATATATGTTAGATCCCACAGGTATACCCTTGGGATAATGCCATATGGCATAGTATCTCTCAGCTGTAGGCTCTGTCATTCTGATAATTGTTGGTCAGACAGGAAGAGTCCTAGGAACCTTTAGCTAAGGCTGGATCCCGTTAGGAAACACAAGATTATTCTGTTTACCAACATTTGTCAAATTGAAGCACATTCTCCTTCATTGAGAAGAAGATTTCAGTAGACGTAAACAAATGATAACGATTGTCAGTAGAAGTTTAAACAAGACCCTGATTAATGTATTAGTGAGTAGTTGTTCCTTGTTAACAAGACATGAACTCAAAATCAGTCATTAGCTATGACATGTGTACTAATTCCCTCATGTATTTTTATGTAAATACTTTTCTTTGTTATGGAACCATTGGGTGTTCTTTATACAGTTTATATTGAATATGCAGAGTTTGATATAAAACTCTTTAGAGGCAAGAAACCAGATTATGCTCTTGATCATGTGCCTAATGCCATGTTTACTTTTGTTACTCCAAATATCCAAGCAAAACAGGTACGGTGCCACCTCTGGCAGCATAAATAGTCACAGTGAAAGTTTTGCTTCTCTTATTGCTATAAGGGAAGGTTTTGTTTGTTTGTTTGTTCTTAATATAAATCGTGGCCGGCAGAGTGGTCATGGCTATTGAAAGCCAGTCTCAAGCCTGAAAATGTGCCCATGTGTCATCTACACAACAAGAATATTGACATGAGGCAGAGAGGAGGCCTGGAAGAAGCAAGTGCGGTTTTCCAGTCTTCATCAACAAAAGCAAACGCACACCACAGGACCAGGGACACCGGGGATTATGCAACCAATTATGACAGTTACCAAAAAGACATTGTGGCTTGTAAAATGTTAATTCACAGCAAAAACTGTGACTGTATAGAGAAAACAACCAAAGAATTTAGTGTAAGGCGGCTTGCTTGGCTCTTACTTTACAGAAGTGGTGTGGACCTACATGGAACACTACAAATGAGATACGTATCTATAAAATGCTCAGCCCGCTGCTTCCCATTTGATAGGGACTGAGGAAAGGTAACCTCTCACCTGCGAGACTTCCTCGTGCGTGACAAATCGCCTCAAAGTCTATAGGAGAAGTGCCTAGACTGGTGTTAGGTAGTCTGCATTTTCTTAATATTTACATTAGTTGCCTAATTATATTTGGGAGTTTTGGGGTTTGTTTAAAAAAATATAAATTAACTTATTTCCTTTTTCCTCCCTCCCCCAAGATATCGATGAGTGCTCCCTTCCGAACATCTGTGTCTTTGGAACCTGCCACAACCTCCCTGGCCTGTTCCGCTGTGAGTGTGAGATAGGCTATGAACTGGACAGGAGCGGCGGGAACTGCACAGGTAAGACCTCCGCTCGCATCAAAATCAGCTCCCTGGTGTTTCGGGGAACCCAGCTATTAGAGCCCCCCGGGACTATACGAGGGCAGTCACAGAGGACAAGAAAAGCAAGGGGGAAATGTTAAGAATCACAGAAACAGTTTCTCAGACCTGGAACTGATGGGAGGTGAGGATGCAGAGGAAAGAGTCGAAGACAATTGAAGGAGCAAAGTTTGTAGCCTTGAAATTGAGTTTGTGGCTACACAGGAATGTTCTAGGGGTGCTCCAGCTGTGCACCTTTCCAGACATTTCCTTTTTCTACTTGGGCACATTTTTGGAGAGTTTCCTTTTGAAGGTCATGTCCTGGGATCATGGGTTTTCTCCTTGTACTTTGTTGCAATACCCACCCCACTCCTTCCCACCTCTGCCCTGCCCGTGGTCACCAGAGTACCTGGTACACAGAGCTCAGCCGTTTTCTTGTTGAGCCAGGGACCCTCAGGGAACATTAGAAAAAGCTTAGAAAAGCTACGGGCACCCAGCAGACTGCCATGCGGTTCTCTTTGTCACTAAGACTTTGAAAGCCATTTACGTTTTCCCTTCCTAATTCACCCCTCTATTCAAGGATATTGAAGAAACAACTTCTGTTCTATATGAGTTCAAATTTCAGAAAAAATCTGGTCCTTTCAACCACCTAAACAAAACATGACTCAGGGCTTTCAAGATCATGACCACCACCACCACCACCCTGCAAACGCTGTGAATGGAGTATTCCTCTCCAGCCACACATTCTTCCCTTGCTTTTCCTTAAAACTTCTATGCACCAGGCCGGGTCTCTTGCATGCCTCAGGAAGTCACCTCTCCATGGCACGTAGCCTCTCCTGAGTGGCTCAGATGACTATCAGCATCATTCTGTCTAACCTTCTTTCTGTTAGCCTGGCCCTGTCCATCCAAATGCACATGTAATTTGAACAAAAATGTCATCTGCAGTGCCACCAGCAGGAGGGTTGCCGGATTTAAGGGGAGGACCAAGGCAAAGTAGTCATCCCTCTTCTCTAGTCCCTCCTTACAGAAGCCATTCGTCTGTCCTTGAGTATTTCATGAGTGTTCAAAACAGACAAAAGGGATTGTACGGAGTGGAATTTGCCAAAACACATGTCCTAAATATCTGGAATTCTGTACATAGTTTTGGAATAGAAACTGAAAGGGAAATATTCCACTCAACATCGAAGACGGGAGAGAGACTCCTTGCCGACTTCAGGGAACACACTAAGCCTCATGCGTGTGTATTGGGGGAAGCAGCAAGAGCTGCTGCTCCTGAGGCTTTCCTGGGACATCTTGCCCCAATTTGGTGAAATAACAAGCCACATATACTCAATATATTTTCTTAAAACCTGTGTCTGAATTTCTGGTTGACCGAGGTCACAACCATGTTCTGCCTTCATTTACCTTGACTGGAATATTTTTCCTAGTTCCAAAGTTGTGTTTTATCCCGATGACAAATTTGAATGGTAAATGTGTTGTGGGGGAAGAAGACCAAAAACTATGACATATTTCCTTCCTGAGGGGTTTGATTTCTGAAGTGGAGGACAGCATTTCTAGGTGTTGTTATAACTAGCAGCTTTAACATCCTTGTTTGGAGCTCTAGATTGGGTCCTGTTCTTTCATGGTGACGTCTGCCTGCACTGGCTCAGGTGATAAGTCCGCTGCTCGCTGTTCGGTTTTAGATGTTAATGAATGCCTGGATCCAACCACGTGCATCAGTGGGAACTGTATCAACACTCCAGGCAGCTATACCTGTGACTGCCCACCTGATTTTGAGCTGAATCCAACTCGAGTTGGCTGTGTGGGTAAGACCTTAAAAACTTTTCAGGGAAGCATACTGTTTATTATTTTGAAAATAGCCCTAAACCTTCCATTCTCAAAGTTTGCAAAATGAATGATACAGAAATTTAAACATTTCCCAACTCTGCTTTATATTCAGGTGTCTTTTTCCATAGGAAAATTCTCGGTACTGTATGATATTCGTGGGCACTTTTTAGTTTCTTAGTAAAAGTAAATGATGGTTTTTTAATAGTTCCTGAAATGGGTTTGAATTTTCAGCACCGGTAGAAAGAATCTGCCTGATGATTTTGTGTTTGTATATGGTAAATAGATACCCGCTCTGGAAATTGCTATTTGGATATTCGACCTCGAGGAGACAATGGAGATACAGCCTGCAGCAATGAAATTGGAGTTGGGGTTTCCAAAGCTTCCTGCTGCTGTTCTCTGGGTAAAGCCTGGGGTACTCCTTGTGAGATGTGCCCCGCTGTGAACACATGTAAGTGGACAACCTCCTATTTAGTATTATTTCAACTCCAGGCAGTTCTCCTCTCTAGATCAGAAGATAAACCTTTTCTACTCTTAGATCAGACTGAAGATCAGTCCTCTCAGCCGTGTGGAGGGGACCTTATTCCCAATTCAAGAGTCAGAAAGTATTCCTGGTTGGCTCGCACTGAAAGATCAGGTGGGGCAGGTAACATCTCACTTCTGTGTAAGTGAGAAGCAGATAGCATTACTTTAAAGATTTTCCAGACTACGTTACTTGCACCGTGTTGCTTCCCTTCCAGGGACACACTGATTATCTCTCCTCTTCTCATCTATTGACTAGTTTTGAAAGCTCTAGGCCAGACTCAGTGTCCCTGGGTTTGAAGAGAAGCGATTAGTTAAGCAACTAGGAAGTGGAAGATGATTCCATTCTTATGGTGTGCCTTGAAAGAGAGCTTTAGCATGTGATTTTAAGGACATACATACTATGTCTCCTAAAGATGTAAAAGGCTTGTTATTTTTCCAAGTGGGCCCTGTATTATAATTCAGAATCAGATGTAGCTTCTTTGGCAAAAGTCAGTGGCTACTGCTTATAGCGTATATTGGGATTGATAGGGATGCTTCTTTTGCTGAAGGGTCATTCATTCAATTCTTCTAAAAATATTTGTTGAGTACCTAAAGTGTGTACTTTGTATGTGCAAAGATGAATTAAAATAGATCCTGCCCTTCAGAAGAATACAGCATAGCTGGCAAATTATGACCTAAACATAAGTGCTATAATTCAAAGTAGGTCTCAGAAAGAGAAGAAAGAGCAGACACAGTGCTGTGTTGGTACAAACAGCACACCTGGTGCAAATTAGGACTCCACTACTTGTCACCCATGTAACCCTGGGCAAGTTCCTTAGCATTCATAAAATACTTCATAGGATTAAATGAAACCACTCATGCAGAGTACCCAGCAGAGGAGTGAGTGCTCAGCCGGCTCCTCCTTCTCTCTTCTCTTCAGAAAGGGAGGTCAGTTCTGCTTGGGAGAGGGTTGGGATTTTGCACATTTTCTAATTGAGCCTTCAAGAAGGTTGTGACATGAAAGAAGAAAAAAAGTGTGGATGATTGGAGAAACAGGAGAACAAGTAAAAGAGGAGGACAGTTCATTTCATTGGTGTTGAAGGGGACAAACTAAGACACTTAATCGGGGGAGCCAGCTTTGTAGATTAATGATGAGTAGCAAAACAATAGGTATGCACCCCACGCCAGATCTGGACCAGAGTTAGAACTACAGTATGTACATACAGGCATGTGTGCATATGATTTCAGGAAGCCAGGACAGGGATTAGCAGATCTGGAAAGACCATGACGATTACGAAAGAACTGATTGTATAGATCTTCACTGGGAAGATGCAGCAGGTTACAGATGTGCTTATTGACATGTCCTCTACGTATCCCCGTGCTGGCACATGGCACTGAAGTAAATGTTTCTGGGTAAAATACTTGGATGAAAGAATTAATGGGGGAACCCAAGGACACTGTAGAAAGTTATTTTTGGAAACCAGGAGAATCAATACTGCCATCCATAGAAACAGAGGCGCAAGAAACGTCTCTAGTCACGAAGGAGAGAATTGGGATGGGAATCAACAGAGAACAGCTTTTTCTAAGAAAACATTTTGGAAATAGGCCAAGTAAGATTATTAAGGGAAGCTGTAATTCCCGGAAAGTAAGGCTGAACAGAACATAAAAGTGAAGATGAAGTTTTTCAGAAAATAAAAAGGGAGAGAAAATCTTAAAAACAGTGATGAAGATAAGGGATAAAATAGTCTGCATGCGTATAAGAACAGGGGAGTGGTGAGAGTTCAAGGACTAAGGACAGTGGCCTTGCACTGGGGACACATCATAAAAACCACTGGAGAATGGCAAGTGTACACAAAGGTGTTAACTTACTTTGGACAGGCAGAGTAACAACTAAAGATTCCCGAACATGAATAGTTTCAGATGGATATGTCAGTATTTCCCTTGAGGTTACTACTTGTAAAAATTTTTAGATTCAAAGCAACTCAATTTGAATTTTTGTTTCAATAGCTGAGTACAAAATTCTTTGTCCTGGAGGGGAAGGTTTTCGACCAAATCCTATCACAGTTATATTGGAAGGTAATTGTGTTTCTTTTGTCTTAAAATGCATGCAATTTGAATTTCCTTGGGTTTGTTTACAATGCTGAAGGAATGCTTTTGTTTTGGTTTTGATAGATATTGATGAGTGCCAGGAGCTACCAGGGCTGTGCCAAGGGGGGAAATGTATCAACACCTTCGGGAGTTTCCAGTGCCGCTGTCCAACCGGCTACTACCTGAATGAAGATACACGAGTGTGTGATGGTAAATGGTCCTTGTAGGATGATAAAGTTTTTCAGATATCAAGAACTGACCTGCAAAACCAGAATATGGTTACCAGGAAAACAGAATTTAGCTGTATAGTACAGTGGTCTAAACACAAGCATAGCCAGGTAAATATGTCACCCATGGCAGTTTGGAATAATGTTACTCAAAATATGTCATTTCTGGTAAGTCCTAAATCTCTCTCTTTTCCTGAGAAAAATAGACTCTTATTCTGCTGGACCATAGCCTCATTTATGCTTACAAAGGAGTTTTCTATGTTCTTCAGAAAAGCCATTTTTCATGAGAATGGCACAGGTCCCATTTCAGTGCTGCTTCTCTATTGGGGGAGTTCTGGGCCCACTTCTTATCATCCGTGCTCCTGCATTCAAATGAGCTTCTCCTAGAAGGCGGCCCTTTGGCTTCATGCTGTGAGTGGTGGTCCTTGTTCACCCTGTGCTTCTGGAAAGGTGGAGAATATTAACCACTTCTGGGTTTGAGAGCACTCAGCCATGAGCCAGGGTGGGAGAGGTGGTTTTCATCTACACGCAGGAATCACATCACTGTTTAGGAAAGAGACCTCCTTGTGCTCTGCATAGGAAATGGCTCTTAGGGCTCTTTAAGTGGCTTATTAGCTCACCTAGACAATGGCAACGTCATTGAGTATTACATTGAACATCACAGTATATATGGCACAGCTCTAAGACTCATGGAGTTAACGAAGATTAGAATCAACTCCTTTGTTTGGAAATGAGGAGAGGATGTGAAATATGCTCCATGCCGCCTTACCAGTGCAGATTCATGACGCCAGCTGTTCATGGCTTCCAGATACTGTATACTCTATCATAGATTTGGTGAACATATGAAGTGTACTTGTTTTCCCAAGGTGTGTTTGAGATTTTAATTTCTCCATATTTCTACCTCTGCCTACCTTTGAGGATGTTATAGATTCATTTATTAGGAGACTCATTATTATATTTGATATGCCTGCATGTCAGAAGGCAAGAGTTCCTTTTCTTTTTTGTTTTTTGTTTGTTTTGAGATGGAGTCTCGCTCTGTTGCCCAGGCTGGAGTGCAGTGGCACGATCTTGGCTCACTGCAGCCTTTGCATCCAGGGTTCAAGCAATTCTCCTGCCTCAGCCTCCTGAGTAGAGTAGCTGGGACTACAGGTGTGCACCACCACGCCTAGCTAATTTTTGTATTTTTAGTAGAGGTGGAGTTTCACCATGTTGGCCAGGCGTATCTAGAACTCCTGCCCTCGAGTAATTCACCCACCTTGGCCTCCCAACGTGCCGGGATGACAGGCGTGAGCCACTATGCCCAGCCAAGAGTTCCTTTTCTAAAACCTTTCCTTAAAAGGCACAGATTTGCAGAGAGAGAGGACACAGATGAATGAAATACCTATTTTTATCTTATTTCAAAATGCCCTATAGATTTTCTCCTCTGTTGTCAACATTCATGTTGACATTCAGTATCAGGCCATTCTAAAATGTGAAGTTCTGATATTCATATACCACTTTCTCTTTGGATTACAGATGTGAATGAATGTGAGACTCCTGGAATCTGTGGTCCAGGGACATGTTACAACACCGTTGGCAACTACACCTGTATTTGTCCTCCAGATTACATGCAAGTGAATGGGGGAAATAATTGCATGGGTAAGTCCAAGCTTTTCTCGTTTGGTTTCCATCCACAAAGAAGAAGAGAGCTTAGGTGATGTTACTCATCACACTGAGTGCTGACATCTCTTCACTGTCTTGGTAGGAGCCTCCTCCCCTGTAAACCATAACTTGGCATTTTTTCACTAGCATGGGTGGGTGGTTGGGAGTTTTCTCTAAAATGCAATGCTGGAAAATCCCAAACAAAAGTTAATAGTACTTATTTTGTTTGACTTTTGGGTGTATCTTTGTACAATTATATTTACAGTACTGACCTACAGTATTAAAACAGCATGAGTCGGAAATGAGAAACTTACTGCCAAATGGCAGTAGAGAATTGTTACTAGGAGACTGGGCAGAGAGTCATTTAAAGTTTATTAGTGCTACAACTACATAGTGACTTAGTTCTGTGGCATGAATTATTAGGGAATACATTTCTCAAAGTCCTTTTTCCTGTGGCAGCATGAGTAGCTAGAAAGTAGTGTAAGAGTAAGTTTTTTTTGCCCTTATCAAAGTCAAGCTACAATACCACTCAGATCAACCTTGCTCATTGAGTATCCACTTAGAAATTTGTTGCGATTTCCCACATGGCCTCACCAGTCCTCCAATTCTTTTTTTACCTCCTGCCTAGATATGAGAAGGAGTTTGTGCTACAGAAACTACTATGCTGACAACCAGACCTGTGATGGAGAACTGTTATTCAACATGACCAAGAAGATGTGCTGTTGTTCCTACAACATTGGCCGGGCCTGGAATAAGCCCTGTGAGCAGTGTCCCATCCCAAGTACAGGTGAGTTTTAGTTTCACCATTGCCAAAAATACAGGTTGAAAAATTACCTATGAATTGTTGGGGAAATCAGTCTTAGCGAAGGAAGCAAAGTTTGCATTGTTTAACTTTACAGGGAAGAAAATGGCTCACAAAGGCAAATATTTAAATTCACAGTTGATGCTGGTCATTCTAGCCAAACATTGAGTCACAGAATATGTTTTCTAATTTATACCCTAATACGTAACCAGACTTGTAAACTCAGCATATCACAAAATTATAAACTATAAACAATGTTCTCATTGTTACTGAAGTCTTACGTAACTAAAAGACTGGAAACATTAGACAAACCAATATGACAATAAGAGAAACATAATTCCTTTTGTTTTTACTTATTTAAAGCTAAACTTGTTCCAAACAGAATTAAAGGCAGCCTACAAAGATGTAAATGTAAAATAAGAAATAAGCATAAGGCAAATGGCAAACAAGAATAAGAAAGGCAGAGCCAGGAGCAGGACTGATACACAGAATCCAAGCTGGGAATTCCTACACACTTGTCTGAAATAAGTAGTAACTTTAGCCCCAAACTTTCTAGCAGTCCTATGAAAAGGGAGATGTGATCAAGTTCAAAATTTTCAATGACTATAAAGAAAACTCAAAAGCAAAGTGCAACTTTTTTTTCATATTGAGATCCAAGATAAATTTTTTCTTATATTCTCATAAAGAAACTAAATGTTACTTGTCTTTAAAAAAAAAAAAGGCTAATTTACATCCTTTGTGTGAATGAAGTGAAGGCATTAGTGTACTGTTCTTATATCATATGGTATATACTCTGCACTATGTATATGATGATGACATCATTTGCCAAGATTATGATTTGGGTTATTTGAAATTATTATGCAAGGTTTATTAATTAACTTAAATTATTATTTGGATTAATTAAAATTATGAAATTATTATTGATTAGGGTGTGCTATAAAGGGAATCCTACCCTATTTTCCACAGTGATATGTAAAATATTAAATCTGTTGTTTGGGACTACCTAACATTGCATGCAACAGAAAATTCTTTTTTAGAAAAATATATTATTCCATCCATTGTTTATACCAGAAATAATATAATAACCACCACTTAGAATTCCTAATTTGCCTCCACCCTGTAAAATGTGTCTAGGCCAGGGCTTGGCAAAATGCAATCCATGGGCCAAATCCATCCCCCCACCTACTTCTGAATGACCTGCAAGCTAAAAATGATTTCTACATTTTAAATGTCTGGAAAAAGTCAGGAGAATAGTATCTTATAAAATGAAAGTTACATGAACTTCAGAGTTTGTTGCCCATAAATAAAACTTTATTAGAACACAGCCACACTAATTTATTTTCATATTGTCTACTGCTGCTTTCATGGCAGTGTTAAATAGTTTTGACTGACTGTACAGCCTCTAAATCCTTAGATATTTACTCTCTGGCCTGTTATTAAAAAGTTTGCTGACCCTTGATCTTGAACAATGGTCTTTAAAACTTTAGATGATACTTACTACTTGCCTATTGGTAAAAAATCTGGAGCTTATATATACCTGGTGTGCATTTACATGTAAAAGTCTATGTGTATATGTATGTGTATGTGTATTTGTTTTCAATTCTATTGAAAAATGCACTTATTATTTTCCTGAACTGTTCTAATATAAAATATACACAAAAATTTTTTTTTAAAGATTAGATTTTCCAAAGATAGAAGTCCTAGTATTTTCTTTTTAATCCTAATGGATTATTGCATATTCCTCTGAAGACCACTTTGGAAACCCTCAATATAGACTAACATTTACTTTCAGAAATGATTGCCTGAGTTGTCAATATCTGTATTCTCTTATGTAAAATGCAATATTTCTCCTTGATGTTGGATATTCACCAAATCCAGTCATGGCTTTTCATTAGCTGTGAAATCTATACATATTTTAGGAGTCTCTGTAATTTCTTTGGATGGCCAATGTCAGCTGGCATTATGGTTTTAGAAGTCAGCACTCTCAGATTAAGAAAACGAAAGGAGAATAACATGCTATATTTTGATTAAAATGCTTCCAGAAATCTTTTACTGATTCTCACTGCACATGACCAATAAGGCAATGGCCATCTTAGCTTAGATTGATACCATACCTTACCAGCTACAGTTATGATCTACAATGTCACAGTTAGAAGGGACTGCCGATAGATTTTAGTTCATCCTTTATTATCTGTTAAATTTGATTTATTCAAGTGAGAGGAAGACAGAGACAGACAGAAAAGGAGAGAGGGGGAGGGAGAGAATTTGACAGAGCTGTACCAAATGAAATCCAGCTCAAAAAACTGAAAAAATGGTGAAGGTTGATTGATCCAAATTAATAGATTTGACATCAAGGACATGGCTGGATTTGCTTTGATCTCCCATAACCTACTGAGAAAATGGCTTTTGTACGTGTTCCTCAAACCCAGCTCTCTTAATGCAGACTAGGGAGAGGCACTTTTGCCAGTCCCTGAGTTCAGAGCTGAACATCATCTGTATTGAAATCCAAACTCCTACAGGCAAACTCAAGTGAATGAGTGGCATGTGACCTGGAGATCTCTACTTCTCGTTCATTATCATGTCAACATGAGATTATTTTGTTTCCTCAATATTTGTCTTACAGGCAAAATTACATCTGTAGGAATTTTCAGATTTACTTTTTATTTTAAATTCTTCAAATTACAAACAAATACCTTTCAAGAATGCTTACAAAATAATTTTTTTCAGTTCAATTATTGTTCTTTTCTGATCATCCCATCCCACCTTTGTTTCATCACTGCAGATGAATTTGCTACACTATGTGGAAGTCAAAGGCCAGGCTTTGTCATCGACATTTATACCGGTTTACCTGTTGGTGAGTCATGATGGCACTGTCACAACTTTCTGGGTTTTTGTTGCCTTTGTGTTAGCAAGAGGAGTACACCATTATTTTCCCTGTCCCTGTTTTTTCTTAGAAGAAAAAAAAATGTTAAACAATGCCTTTAATTTTAAAACACTGATTCTTAGTTTGAAACAAACTGTGCAAACACCCTGTGCAGCTCCACATAATTGGCAGCAGCATTTGTTGTTCATGATTAAGGGGACTGGAAAGCTTTTCACAAAATTACAATCAAGCGTAGTTAAACCAACCTTCGGCATCAACAAGGGGAGCGATTCTGGGAGTCGGGCCAGTTGACATTTGATTTGACTGTAATTCCCAATCCTTCCTTCTAAGACCAGGTTAAGTGACTTTTCACACCAATCCTTACATGTAGATTGTTTACCTAAAGCCCTTTCGTGGATCAATTTTATCTTACATGGAATCTTCTCAGGTCATCTGCTTTGAGAATTTCAGATGTGAAATGAAAATCTTTTCAGTCTGAGGCCCCGCCTGGTAACTGAAGCAGAGAACACAACATCGGTAGAGATGCTTGTGCAACATTCAGAAGTACTGCACAGCACCAGCCAATGCAGGCAATGCCCTTGTGGTTTGAAACCAAATAACATAAAAGTAGATGGAAAGCTGTTGCATTTTCTGAGTTTTTCCCTGGTCTGATTTATATGCATCCTTAGATGCCCTCTTAAGTCTGCACAGTTGTGTCTAGTAGCAAACATCACCACTTGCTTTATTCCACCTTATTCGTAATAAGTAAACTAAAATCCGCATCAGCCTTTCCAGTGACCTTGTTTAAGAAAACAAGAGTCTGGTCCAGCAATCAGCCTGGCTCCCTTAGTGCCAAATCCATATGGCTCCACAGTCTCATCAACATCCAAAGAAACTTCATGGTTTGGAAAGAAAAACTGCTAAATGACATTGGCATGGAACACCTGGCCCTAGCTGCTTTGTTTTTCCCCTTCCCAAAACAGATCTTTTAATCTCCCTAGGATCTGTGATCGGAAGATAAGTGGTCTGTAATGGTAATGGTTCTCCATGGACCCGCCAGGCATGTACCCCAGCAAGACTACCCTCCAAGGTTGGCAGTAAGCAAAGACTAAAAACTACATTAGCGTCGTCCACTAGGAGAGCTGGATAGGCTTCAAACATCATCTAGTCCAAATGCCTTGCTTCATATTTGAGGACACAGAGGCCCAAAGAGGGGAAGGGACTCATCCAAGGCCACCCAGCTAACTAATAACAGAGCTGGGACCAGAAGACAGTCCTGACTCATGGCTTAGTTTGCTTCTAACTCTTGAAAACTAGAAATCGGATATTTAGCTCTATGGTTATTGTTACCAAATTCCACTATGACAAAATATTTAGATGATGAAGAACTTTGTTTTGTTTAAGCTTTATACTCTCCTTTTGGAAGATCTTATGATTCTTGGCATGTGGAGTCCATTCATATAGGGTTAAAACTATAGCATGTTTATTCATCTTGTCTTAAAATATAAAATTCTCCAAGTTGAAGTTCAAATAAAACCCTGACAAGAAAAAAATATATAATTTTTAATATATCCTTTTGCTATTTTATACCTAACAATGGCCAGAAATTTGACTCAGCCTGTTATTGTTAAGCTTGATAATATATCACTTATATTTAAAACAAATGAATATGATATTTCGTGTTTAACCCACACTGAATGAATGGCATCTGAATTTGTTTTGTTTGCTTACGATACACGGTTGTGATATAACTTTACATGGCCGTTTCATGACATGAATGACGAAGGTGTGAAAGAGCTAAAGACATAATTGCCTGTATTCAAAATGGCAATGTGCCCTTTGAGATTCTAAGCTGTTTCTTGTCATTAAATAGGTCAATTTTGCCTTCACACAAAATCAAGTCCTTTTTTAAAAAGGATCTAAAATAAATCTCTGGCAACAAATTTTTCCTTTGAAACAGATTGAGTGTCATTCTTCTAAAATTGCAGCAGCTCTTATAGGCTCCACTTCAGTCTATGAGCATCTTCTCACAAAGTATGCAAACAAAGTATGTACCTTGCAGAGGCTCCTGACTATAATAAGTAAACAAAGTATCTCAACAACAGTTATAGAAACTAGTGAATTGGAAGACCAAGGCTTTACATACCTCCCACCTGAGGTGTTTCACCTGCCAAGGGGCTGAAGGAAGGCCTTCGGAGATAACAAAGGTATTGATGACAGTTCTGTGAAGATTGTATTTGGGCGATGTAGGAAATCACCCTAATACAGTCTTCCCTGGTATGATAAGGGAGGCAGGATGGCCTGTTAACTGAGTCCTGGTGTCAAATCCTGACCCTGCCTCTCATTGGCTGCTTGGTATTTGGCAGGTTATATCCTCAGGTTATATCACTTGCATCATCTCTTAGGATAGTCAGAGTACCAAGACCATCTCATAGGGTGGCTGTGATAATTCAGCAGATAAATACAGGTTGAATGCTTGAGAAACATACCAGTCATGCAGCAAATGAGATTCTGTTAATATTAATACTATTACCATTATTATTACTATTACTACTCTTATCCTAGAGGGCAATTCAGTGGTCAGAAGTTCAGAGTAGGTAAGACAGAGATGGGATCACTCCAGGCTGGTGATGTGGCCAGGCTGGCGAGGTGCCCACAGCCTCTCTCCACAGTTGGCCAGCCCTGCCTTAGCAGCCTGGGTCCTGGCCATATTCTCACTCTTGGTCCTGTTTTGGTGCTCACCAACACGCTGCCAGACACTTGCTTTCAACTGAACAAATTTGAACTGAGCATTTACTACCTGTCATGTAGAGTGCTGAGCACCCGTAACACAGTGATGGGGCAGCCAGCCCCAGCTCCCAGCCTTAGGAAGCTTACCGTCTATTATGACAGTTCTTCCTTGGTGCTGACGTTGTCTTCATTGTCAGCCTTGCCCCAGCTGTCATTCCCACACCTGACTTACCTCCTTTCTAAAGCCACATGAAGTAGGAAGGGGGCGTTTAACTGGAATTTGAAAGATTAGAGTTCCATATAACCATGCACTCCTCTGTGGTTCTTTACCAGCTCACCTTTTCATTTTCCCTAAATACAGGTACACTTGGGTAGAGAGGTTGTTTACTCTTGGCTGTCCCTTCTATTCTGTTCATCTAGTGTATCTACATACAAAGATGCCTCCTACAAAATTGACATTCTGAAACAAAACTCAAAAGATAGATGTTCAATCCAGTTAGACTCATATGCCTTGAAAGTGGTTTAGTTATCTCAATTTGCTATTCATTGATGTCCCCTGTTGCCATCACTGCCACCCCAACACACACACGCACTCTCACACTCACTCACACACACACAAACACTTTCCATCTTGTCTTACTGTGCATGGGGATCATGGGCTGTCCTGTCACTCACGAATGACCACTCTGTCTCTAGATATTGATGAGTGCCGGGAGATCCCAGGGGTCTGTGAAAATGGAGTTTGTATCAACATGGTTGGCAGCTTCCGATGTGAATGTCCAGTGGGATTCTTCTACAATGACAAGTTGTTGGTCTGTGAAGGTAAGTGGCATTGTGACTTTATCATATCCGGAAAAGAGCTAACTGATGAGCTACTTAATGATACACACTTGGTGAATTTCACAACATTGAAATTTCAGAAATGTGTTAAGCTCTAGAAATAGTAAAGGACATGGTGTAGAACAACATGAAATTTCATGCAAGAAAAAAAATTCCCTAACTTCCAGTGAAAAAACCAGGAGGCACATGCATTCCCAGCCCCCCTCCCCTAAAGCACAATGTATTGCTATTAGATTTCCCAGCTGATATGAATAAGCTTTGAGTTCCTGGGTGTGTCACATAGATCACTTTGTTTCACATTGCTTGAAAATCAACGTGAGTGGACAGTCATCCTAGTTGACTCTCAGAATCACTTCTCTTCCAGACGGAGACTTTGCAACTCCCAAGTGAAAACAAGGTTAATGCAAATATTCCAAATGCATGAGAGAATTCCAAATGGCAAGAACAGCAAATTTGATTTTATATGGAGAATGTTGGCATGCACATGTACTTTTTTCATTTTCAAATTACCTCCTGTTGCCATGTATATGTACTGTGATTCTGAGCATTCCTTGTAGCACTTCATATTTTTTCCTACATCTGGGAAAGATAGTTCTTTTACATTTTAGCAAAAGGGACATTACTGGTTATTAAATATACCATGTGCCCCAGGATAGTTGGAATAATTTTCTATTTAATACTTAAACTTAGTTCCTCTAGCAGAGTTTTATTCATGTTAGATAGAGTTATTACCCCTTAGAGCACGTATTATGGCACATATGTCAACATTTCAATGTTAAAAAAAAAAAAAACTTTTTTGTCTAAACTGAAGACAACTTATATACCAAGAGTAAAGTTACAGTCTTAACCACATACTTGTTAAGTTCCTCTTACTAGGCTTTCCGTTACTGTGGCCAAGTGGGCACATGTCCCTTATTCCGCCTGCTGTGTGGGTTAGTGGGAATGGGGTGATAGCCATTCATAGCCTTCCTAAGGAGATAGCCAATTCAGACCTTGGCCCCAGTCCCTGGGCTTTGGGAAGCCATCAAGGATCACGTACCTGGAGAGGAAGCATGACTGTGGGAGAGGGAATCCACGACAGATGATCTTATAGTGCTCGAGTTGGCTGCCTCCTCACAGCTGCACTTACCCCTCTCAAACATGCTCAGCATGCCTGCCACCTGCTGTGGCATTTTCCTCTCCTCCCTCCCCTCAGAGTTCGCTTTGATGATTACTGTACCCAGGTACCTTTTAACCACTTATATTTGCTGAAGCAGCAGCTCTTGGCCAGAACCCATAGGCAAGACCACCCATGACTACCAAGTCAACTTAGACCTTGCTAGATCCATGAGATTAAAAACATACAAGTGTACTAATGCAAGGCATTTGGCTGTCAGGGTAGCATTCTGTGGATACTGAGATAACAACTTCTGATTTCTGTTTCACAGAATATCCGTCTTCAGGGTGAATGTTTAATCCAGGGTCAGCTGCTTCCCAGCATACTCTTAGCTCTTAGAATAGGAAAATGAAGGTGGAGTTCATACGTGCCTCAGCAACACTGAAATTGGAATGGATTGCAGAGGTGATTTAGGGAGCTTCTAGCATCTCCTCTCCCTGCAAGTAGCCGCATTATCAGATGCCGTGTCATAGAACTGCTTGCCTGTGACACTACTCAGTTTCTCCACTGGCACAATCTGCCCCCTGTGTTTTTATACTTCCTGAATTCAGAGCAGGGAAGCCCTGGTGAGTGAGGCAGTGCTGGGTCCCTTGTAACCCAAGGCAGGCACACATCTACTCTTGTGTCTGTTGCCCAGAAACCCACAATTCACCCACCTTAGACAGGAACCCCCACTGACTGACTGACAGTCCCGAGGGTTTTCCATCACAGAACCACGTCCAACAGACATCAGCTGATATATTTGCCACCCCCTTGTAGAACTTCTTTGGCCGAGCCAACTTCTGTGTAAAAGCCCAGAACTGGTACTAAGGACCAACCCTCACCTTTGTTACAGGCCATCCCCTATACTGGACTAGCCTGAATTAGATTGTTCCACTGGAGCAAGGAAGAGGGAAACATGTATTTTGTCCCATGGCGTAGCCTAGACTTGCAGTAACTTTTTTTTTTTTTTTTTTTTTTT